GCAGCCGCTTCTCCTTCAGCCGACTGGAAGAAATTGCACTTTGTCTTCACTTATCAGTTACTAACAAATGCTCTCTCCCCTTCTCCAGGTGATGGGTGGCTGCAGCCATCTCTGTTGAGGCATGATTCAGTGGATTCTGGTGTAGCTAAGGGCAACCAGGGCGGCTTAGGCAGTGGACATGGATGGAAGGAGACCCCCAGCTGGCATGGGGCCCCACGGGGCCAAGAGGGCCCTCACCATCATCATGGCCGCCATTCCAAACGCGGCGGAGGCGACAGGGACAGGCAGGGGGGCCATCGACAGCGCAATGGCAACTTCCATTCCCGCAAGGGTGGTCCCTTCCAGGACCGTTACTCTGACGAGGAGCGCAACGATGACAAGCTTAAGTTTGTTGAAGAGGATTTTGTAAGTGTGTTTTCTTACTTATACTTGTTCATGTTACATGGTCTGGGTAGCATGTGTCTTAAGTAACACGTAAAGCTTTCAGGTTAGTTCTAACGGAGTCCAGGCTTGCAAATTTTGGTCAGGGGTGTTTACTGTTGTACTAGTTTTAATGTTGTTTCTATATAAAATGCAGCCCTCCCTGAATCCTGAGACAACTGGAAAGCCAGCAAGTCAGACTCGCGCTGTGGGAACTCCAGCAGGCGTGTGGGGTAAGGAAGCATGTTTAGCCTCTGAAGTAAATATCAGTTGCCCCCACTATTTTGTAAAACTGGTGTTAATTTGTGTGAAACATCAAAGAGTTTTGTGATACAGTTTATGTGCATGATTTGTGTCTGGGATATACCAATGCTGGTTCTTCTCCACCTCACAGAGAATCCTCCCAGCGCTAAGCAGGCTGTGTCTAAGATGCTGGTCATTAAGAAAGTGTCTAAGGAGGACCCCAGTGCTGCATTCTCTGCTGGCTTTGCCAGTGCTGGTCCTCTGCCTACTAATGGCTCCAAAGTCCCCATTACTGGACCCAGTGTCTATAAGAATTTGGTCCCTAAGCCTGCTACTGCCCCAACTAAGGTACTACACTCAGCTCAGTTATGATGGTCTTATCTCAGTTTGATGCCTAATCAGACAAATGATGTGTTACCTAGTCCTGTATAAGTTACATGATGCTAGAGATTCTGGTTTTGTTTTTTTTCTGATAAAGTGAAGGGTATGTTTAGTTCAATAAAAGTGAGCTTACATGTTTTCTGAATGTGGTTAAATGGAATTGTTGATTGCTCAAGTTGATTTGTTATTTGACTGTGATGCTAGCGGTTGAATGTGCCAAATAGTAGGATGTTTAATGGACTAAGAGGATAAAAATGAAAGTGCGAAGCTCCTCGTCGTCTCCCCAACTTCATTGATTACCTAGATATGGAAGTTCAGTTTTTTTCCCTTCTTTTTTCTCTGAAGACTGGCCCATGGAAACCCAATGGAAGGGAAACTAAAGTGGGTTTACATTTCTCTGGTCGGGATTCAGCCTTCACCAGCCCTGTGTCTGTGACCAAACCTTTGACACCTGTCAACGCACCACCCCATGGCACTCCTAAAGAGGTTAGGGTCCAGGCTCTCATTTAGACAACAGTGCTCCATTCTTAATTTTGTGTGAATTTTGGTCACCTACTTTTCATGAGAATATCAATGATCAGGGTTTCATCTTGACTTTCTGTCTTACCCTTCTTTTGTCCTTTTGCTCTTTCTCTCTTTCATAGCCACCTTCCAGCACTACCCCACCCATAGACATCACTCCTCCCCGACTGAAGCTGATGCGCCGCGGCCCAGACCGCAAGAGTGAGTTCCTGCGTGGGCTGAAGGACGAGAGGAATGGAGAGTTGAGTGGCTGCCACAGCCCTGGAAATCCAGTCGAAGTGAGTTTACTCAAAACAGACATATGTTGCTGTTCTAAGAATTAATTGTGCAAAATCCTAATCAGGCCATTATTGTCTTGTTCACACGTGTCTTGATGTCTTAGTGTTGTCTCTGCTTTTGGTTTGTTAAATCTCTGTTTATGACTTTCAGGGAGAGGGCAGTACTCCTGAGCTGAAAGAGTATGGAGAAATTCATGAGAATGGCATGTCTCACTCTCTGAGTGACTCGGACACTGAGCACCTATCCAGCTCACTGGAAGCTGAGCACAGGTCAGGAGTCAAATACGCTTGCCTTTACTGGTCATCATCGCTATAAGGGCGAATTCCACTTTTTATTTTACCAAAATTTAAGGTTTTGGCTGAAAATGTGTTTTATTTACTACATTTATGGGAGAGAGGTTTATGCTGGGCGTATAATATATTAATTAATTAATATTAGTGTAATAATTACAGCTCAGAAGGCAAGTGTCAGCTTACTTGTCATTTTGGATCGTAAATAAAATAGCTAAATTTGCATTGCAGACATCCTGGCTGCTGGTTTCTATATGCACCTTTGTAAAGGTCTGAGTCAGGAAGTTTCTTTACAGTGTACCTTTTTTTATCACTCAAAAGAATGCAGCATGACTTCTTTACACTCCAGCAATTGTGCAGTGATTTTTCAAAATCTGTGGAATTCCGCTTTAATTCAGGCATTTACATAGTACATTTGGCAGTCATGGTGACATCCATAAGTTCAGAACAGTTCACTTTCTCTTGTCCATAGGCTGCTGAAAGCAATGGGTTGGCAGGAGTACCCCGAGAATGATGACAACTTCCAGCCCCTCACAGAGGATGAGCTCAAAGAATTTCAGGCTAAGACTGAGCAGGTACAGTCCACACACATGAGAAATGAATTAGTCCTTCTGCTGTATTTTTCCCCTTTAAACATGCTGTGTATTTTACTGAAAATTATTTGAATGCCTTGTACTTTGGGTATGTTTAACTACATGTTTCGTATTTGTTGGAACATTCCATTGACCGTGTCAGTGACCGTGTTTATGTGTGTGATTCAGCTGAAGAAGAATGGGCTGGGCCGTAATGGTGTGCTCCCGAAGCCTCGAGGTGTGGCCCTGCTGGCCTGGAGGAACACCCCGAACCCTGGCCTGGACGAAGGCTCCGAGTCCGAGACCAGCAGTAGCAGCCAGACTTCCGATGACGAAGATACCTAACGTGGCTTTAAAACTCCCCTGTTCTCTTCCTCCATTGCTCATATTTGCTCTCTCGCTCTCTCTCTGTCTCTCTCTTTCATCACACCTTTTATTTCAAACAAAAAGAAGAAAACGAATGAAAATATTGTTTTCATGGACAAGGGACATCAATCATATCCCAATGAGAGAGAACACTGAGTGGATGCCTAATGGGCAATTTCTTTCTTTCTTCCTTTTTTTCTTTTTCTCTCCTCTTCTCCCATGTTTTTCCATTTATCCCAAACTAGAAATGTCTATGAAAAGCCACACACATCCCCCCCAGATCTTTTTCTGTTTTTGCTTGGGAAAAAAAGACTAACTCATAATAACACCAATTATAACCGTGATTTAACGTGAAATATGACTTCATCTGAATGTTCTATAAAATGGCTTTGACACCTTTCTCAAATATTTTTCCTTTTTGCGAAAACAATTCGTAGCATTAGTGTTAAGACAAAACAATCATTATGAGCCACTGACGGCGGCGTTGCTCCCAGTCCCTCATAGAAATCAACTCAAGCCAGTCATCTGTGCTGCAAGGAAGCACTAAAACAAAACCCCAACAGAATAACAGCTCTAGTGCAGTTGGGCAGCTAAAATATGACTCCTATTCTGGTGTTTGACTCAAACTGTACTGGTTCCACAATGCTCACTCTGCTTCTTGAACTAGATGTAACTACATTTCACTGCAAGTGTGTGAGCGTATTTTCAAAGTGACAAGTTGGATTTGATATGTAGCTTACGTGAGGGTGTATCATTGCCTAGCTTTTGAAATAAAGGTAACATTCAGAGTGAAGGGTCTAATGAGGAAGCACTGGTGTTAAAGCAGCAATAGAAGTCTCTGATCTATGGTTTTTCTCTGGATTAACTCACCTTCACAGACACACTGTCTTTTTCACTGTGTTTCAGTGCAATGAAATTTAATAAGACATAACGACAGCATCTATTACAGCAACCGGGATTTATCTTTTTGTTTTGAGCTTCCAGAGTCTCAGATGGTTCTTCTTGTTCTATGAGAAATTGAGTCAAACTGTACTCTTTGCCTCATAAAGACTGTTCAGAAGCAACATGGTTAATGTTCTCCTGAAGCCTAAGAGTCTCAGAATGCAGCCTCTAAGGTATGATTGGTCAAAAGATGTTTCAGCACTGTCAGTGTATGCTATTGGGGGGAAAAAAAATCTATAAATTAATTGGAGGAGAATACAGCCTTGCCAAGCACAGTTGATGTTTTCAGTATAATCCATCAGTAAGAAATGACTCATATAATGAGGGATTTCTAATTGGCTATTTTGGAAGAGAGGGTTTATTTTGAAAAGTAGACCTTCTCCCTTGGCTCTGATGTATTTTTCTGAAAACGTAAGCATTCTGTTGACATGAGTTTAAGATAATCTACACTCTTTATCCCTGCAGCTAATGGAACAGTAGAAACCCATCTGCTAAAGTTCTGTATTTCATGAGGGACTGCTGGTGGAAATTATGCATCTCCATTTTTTTTGTACCTTGTTTTTGCTGATAGGGTATAAAAAGGCTTTATTACAGATTTAAGTTTTTTTTTTTATTTTGGTACAGCTGTAAAAAATCCCACATAAATAGTTTTTTTTCTTCTTTTGTTTGCATTATGTTGTTCCTGCAGCCTTGATATTCAGGGTGGATTGTAAAAAATATAAGAATAAAAATTGTGAGTTTTGGAAGATTAAGATTATTTTGTTAACGTTATTTACAGATTTGCAGGTAATAAGGTGTCATGTATGGGTTTATCTGTATTGAGACAACGAAAACAGAAACTACTGCATCTTGGAGAAAAAAAGAAGAAAAAAATTGTAATAAATATTTTGCACCAGTTTGCCAAATATGTCTACCATTTCGTTTTCTGCCCAAGTGCTTAGAAGAAAGCATTAATTGGAGCACAAAATTTGGTTTAAAATGGACTAAAGCCCAGCTGAATTGAAGAGAATAACAGAATTAACTTTGCAAGCTAATCTATGATACAGATACATGTTCCCTTATCTCCACCCCCTCTTTATCAGTGTCCTTTGTCAAGGTGATTGACATGGTGACTGTATCCAACATACAAAACCTCAACAGTCAACAAAAGGAGTTATAATATGACGGGGAAACGCTGAAGGGTAACTCAACAACAGGTCTGAAGGAATCAAGAGGCTACCTCGCAGTAATTTGAGTGAAAGTTGTGTTTATTTGCACGGTTGGTTGAATTTGCGATGAAGCGCTTGGAAGAGTTCCGTTGTCATAACTGTAACATGACATTCCGGTCATTTGGCCTTTTGGATAAGCACCAGACCCGGTTCTGTATTGGAAGTGAAATAGGAGACCCAGTAAAGTTAAGGACAAGCCGTGTGGAACTGAGACAGCCAGAGAGAGCAGCTTTGAGGGGAGTTTCCCCTAAAAGGACACAAACACCTGATCTTATTTCTGTAAGTACAATCACATGGTAGTATTTTAATGAAGACTTACTTGTTTCCAAGTTGTCAGTACAGCGACATCTGCTTCACATATTTGTGATGTGCTAGCATTAGGAACACTGTCAATGTCAAATACGAATAAGGACTTGTCTGCTTTTGTCATTGAGCAGCTGAGAGAGCAGAGGAATAAGCTGTTGAGGCAAAAGGACAGGCGAAAGATTGACCCTCAGGACAGTATGGCTGAGAGCCTGGTCATCAACCAGCTCACTGATGAGGTGATGCCAATTCCATAAAATAAAGTTCTGATCATTGCCACTGGTGCTGATACATGATACACAGTATAAGCCAGGATGTCAATGGCAGAAAAGCCAGCACCTAGGGGCCTCAAAGCCTCGGGACAGTCCACTGCAGATGAAAAAAATTAGAGGAACAAATAGCCCTTGAATATGCTGACAATATAAATAAAGGTCCTTCATAAATATTGGCACCTCTAGGAAACATGAGCAAAACAGGCTTTAGACAACAATATTTATTGCTTATCCTTTTTGATCTTTCATTCAAAGCATTAAGAAAAAAATAACCTTTATTTAAAATACAGTGATTGAAAGAAAATACCTAAATTTTATCATGAAATAAACATTTTTCTCAAATCTATTTTTCTAAGTGTGCCACAATTGTTGGTGCCCCTTCATTTAATACTTTATGCAGCCTCCCTTCACAGAGATAACGGTTCTCCTATAATGCTTAATTAGACTGGAGAACACATGGCAAGAGATCTGAGAACATTCTTCCATACAGAATCTCTCCTTCACATGTTGAGGTCCATGCTTATAGACTCTCCTCTTCAGCTCATCCCACAGGTTTTCTATGGGATTTAGGTCAGGGTACTGGAATGGCCATGGCAAAACCTTGATTCTGTGATCAGTGAACCATTTTGGTGCTGATTTTGAGGTGTGCTTTGGATCATTGTCCTGCTAGAAGATCCAACCACAGCTCAGGATAAAGCTTCCTGGCTGAGGCAGTCAGGTTTTGATTTAGTATCTGCTGCTAGCCAATGGAGTCCGTGATGCCATGTATCCGAACAAGCTGTCCAGGGCCTTTGGAAGAAAAACAGCCCCACATTTTCACAGATCCACCACCACACTTCACGGTGGATATGAGGTACTTTTCTATCTTTGTGTCTACGCCAAACCCACCTCTGGTATTTGTTACCAAAAACATCTGTTTTGGTCTCATCTGACCCTAGATCACGGTCCCACAGAAAGTTCCATTAATGTTTGCTAAACTGCAGGCGCTTGAATTTCTGGGTCCATAACAACGAAGGCTTTCCTCTAGCAACTCTCCCAGTCATGGCTGGCCATTTAAGTGTTCGAAATAACAGGTGAACTGAAATATGAATAGGATAATACTTCAGTTAGATTTCTAGTGGTGGGCAACATATATTTGGGTGAAAATATTCATTTTATAGTAATCAAAAGGATAAGCAATAAAGCATTTTTACAACAATTTTGCATGTTTAAATGCTAATATTTGTAGAAGGCACTGTGTAATATTTAAATATTTAAAAAACTTAAACACCCCTAACACCAAAACTGCAGAAAATATGACAGAAGAATACAACAGAATTTGTTTAGAATCCTGGCTTATTGCAGATCTTATAACTGCTGCATTTCAGTTTCACAAGGTCAGGATGTCAATTGAAGAAAGCCTGTCCAGGAGACATACAGAGGTCGGTTTTATTCACTAATGTTCAGAAATATCTAGCAGAGAAACAAACCTTGAAAAGTATTCTGTTCTGGATCTACTTTTTGGATCTACTTTTTAGAACTCTTGAAAGTCTACTTTTGAATAATGGTGAAAAGTATTCTGTGTATGTGTTATGTTGGTCAGAGGGTTAATGGCAAGAGGCTTCGGGAGATGTTTGAGCACCATGGACAGAAACTGGCTGAGATCAGAGCACAAAACGCTCGGTTGGAGCAGCAGAGGAAAGGTGAGCCCCTATTTACACTCACACAAAAAACTACTCATATTACAGCAAGTGAGCTTGATTATGGCAGTTTCACATATAGGCCAAAGTGGAGACATATAATGCATTTAATAATGTATTTATTCATTGCTTTTAAAAGAAAGGCACTTCAAATATATACATTCCAGTGCATTAATATTTTATTATGCTGGATTAGTATTTGAATTTGTTCAGGAGCCAAAGTCCAAAAGTTTTTAGACATCTTTTCTTTTCAGCATTTCTTCTGATATCAAGAGTATTAATGAGTTTTTGCCCCCTTTGCTGCAGTAATAGCCTCTACTGCTCTGGGAAGACTTTGCACTAGATGTTGAAACCTTGCTGTGAGGATTTGATTGCATTCAACCATAAGAACACTAGTGAGGTCTGGTATTGCTGTTGAATCATTAGTTCTACTTCAGCTCATTCCAAGGTATTGGATAGAGCTTTATCACTCCAGAGAATGCAGTTCCACTGCTCCACAGCCCAATGCTGGGGAGCTTTATAACCCACTAGCTGACGTTTGGTATTAGCTGCTGCATTCTATTCTATTGGCAGTGCTTTTCTGTAGAGATCATACCAGCTGTGGTGCGCAACCGAATGTTGTGTCCACAATTTGGTACACATTAAAGTAGCTGAATTCACTAATTAGAAGGGGTGTCTACATATGTTTTGTTAATGAAAAACAACTTGTTGATGAAAGAGGTCAAAGGCCAGACTGGTTCGAGCTGACAAAAAGGCTACAGTAAAGCAGATAACCATTCTGTACAGTTTGTGGTGAGCAGAAAAGCATATAAGACTGCACAACACATTGAACCTTGAGGTGGATGGGCTACAACAGCACAAGACAATATCAGGTTCCACTTATGTCAGCCAAGAACAAAAAGCTGAGGCTACAGTGGGCACAAGATCACCAAAACTGGACAGTTAAATGCTGGGAAAACTTCTGCAGAGGCACACAGATGGTAGGGTCAGAATTTGGCACCAACAGCTTGAATCCATGGACCCAACCTGCCTTGCGTCAACAGTTCAGTCTGGTGGAGGTGGTGTAATGGTGTGGGGAATGTTTTCTTGGGAACGCTTTGGGCCCGTTCATACCAATCAGTCATTGATTGAATGCCACAGCCTAATTGAGTACTGACCATGTGCATCCCTTCATGGTCACAATTTACCTATCTTGTAACAGTTACTTTTAGCATGATAATGCACCATGTCAAAAAGCAAAAGTTATCTCAGTTTAGTGTTCTTCACTTACCTTCCCAGTCATCCAGTAGAGCATCTTTGGGATGTGGTGGAATAGGAGATTCAAAAGATGTTTCCAACATCTTGTGGAATCCATGCCATAAACATTTGAGGCTGTTTTGAGAGCAAACGAGGCCCTAGCCAGTATTAGTATAGTTTTCCTAATGAAGTGCTAAGTGAGTGTATAGTGTCTCTCCAATTCTTTGTGTGTGTGTATAGAAATTGAACAGCAGCTGGCGGAGCTGTCTGGTCATGGCAAATCATCAGTTCATCTGGAGGACCTGCTGCAGGAGCTAAAAGAGCAAGAGGAGAAGAATGAAGAGATTCTGCACCAACTCAGCACTCAGATCAATGGCCTACAGGGGTGAGAGAGAGAAAAACTATCTATAAGCTCAGATATAGCTTTGCCTCCTTGATTGAGAAAGTGATTGAATGTCCTACCTGTTCTTTACTTTCTATGTCTGGTTGAACTAAAATATCTTTTAGGATAGTATAGATAGACTCTCTCTCTCTCTCTCTCTCTCTCTCTCTCTCTCTCTCTCTTTTCGTTTTAGGGCGAAAGAAGCTGATGTTTCCTCAGACGTTTCCTCAGACAAGAAGACGCAACATGTCACCTTTGACTTGATCTCTGCGGATGGCCCATTCTCCAGCCAAATACGGTTTGGCTCATCCCACTATGCTATATGATATACAGTACTGTGCAAAAGTCAGGGAATTGAGGGACATGTCATTGTACTGTAAGTAATGTGGTGGAACTATTTCTAATACAACCTTCTAGTATAACTGTAGACATTTGTGTCTGTTATTATTATTCTGATTGTTATTATTAAGTGCCGTTAAGTCGTTTCCAACTACTGGCGAACATATGAATAGTTCTCGACAGCATCCTGTCTTCTGTTTGGGTCTTCAGGCTTCGGAATGGCTGGTTCATGATTCCTCTGTGTATAGTATAGTATGTAGCATAGAACTGTGTATAGTATCTCTATATAATATGTGAACTTATGCTGTGAAAAGTCAGAAAGCAAACTTTGTTTATTCAATTTCAGTCAAAATGGCCCTTAAATACAAGTTATTCATTTTCAGGAAATATTTCTGAATGAAATTACACATAAGATAATCCACTCTTGCTTCAGATCTGAAAAATTCACCGGTGTTTCCGCCCATCCTTCCACTGTGAGAAGACAACTCAACACTATGGGTTTGAAAGGATGTGCAGCTGTCAGGAAGTCACTGCTGAGAAAAGGAAATAGACAAAAAAGAGGAAAATTCTGCCTAGACCACCAAAACTGGACACTGTGTGTAAATTTCATATCTGCTGGAATTATTTGGATTGTAAGAAGCAGAAAATGCAACCTTCTGCTGAACTTTGGAGGTGTGAAAACCTAAAAGCAAGTCTCTTGAAAAGGATGGAAGCTGTTATAAAGGCGAAAGGTGGTCACACTAAATAATGACAATATATATTTAGTGTTGAGAGCTCTGTGTACTTTTCTGTTAAATGTGTTTTTGCTTTATTTTGAAACTGAAAAATGAATAATTTGTACTTAAAGTCTGTTTTGACTGGCCACTTTCAAAATAAACAAGGGTGGTCTCTGACAGTGAAAACCCACTGTAGGCTGTATGTAGGAGGCCCAAAAATACGACTTTGGCCTCATTTGTATTTATTTGTATTTATCCTGTTCAAGCAGATTCAGAGAAAAGTAGTTATAATTTTACACAATGTTACTTAAGTACGGGACTGATTGTTGTTACAGATCGTTGCGGCTAGTGTACATGCAGTCAGGTGGCTCTGATCCAGAGGTTCTGGCCCAAATGCATGACCTTCAGGCTGAAGCTTATACCCTGGAGCAGGCCAAAGCTAGAGATGAGCACAAGATGAGGAAAAGACGTGAGTAATGCAGTATGTGCTGCTCCGTTATGTCCTCTTCAGTCATCAGAAAGCCTGTCATTCCCCATCACTCTCCGCAGGAACAAAGACCTCTCATCATGCTATGGACTCAGACCTTGTGGCAGTGCAACATGACAACCAGAGGCTGGAGGAGGAGATCCTCAGATTGCAGTTGGTCAGGGAGAGACACAGAGGGGAAGAGGGTAACTCTTGTCAGCTCAGAAGATGTTTGGATTAGCCAGTGAAGCCATTATTGATCCTATGGCATTACTGACCAATGGAGCAAGCTACATGTCAGTTATTTAGACCTTAATGACAGGATGGATGGATGGAGGGATTCCCAAGGGGAAATATGGTGTGACAGTATTCGAAAAACATACAACATGATCAATTCACAGAATTACACCCAATAAACATATTTTACACATAGTTGCTGGCCATTTGTTGAATTTTGACTAGTTATTGGCTTGCACTTTCCTTTACATTGGCCTTTTTACGGTAGCAGGTTCAGCATTCAGTTTGATCCAGAGGCATCAGAACCATCAGCTGGCTAGCCTGCAGGCTGAGATATCCAACCTGAAGAGGGAGGTGGACAGAGGCAGGAAACGTGGCAGTCATTCACCTCCAATCTTCCCTGAAGACCCTCTCACGCAGACATATCCGACTCTGTCGCTGGTGAGTTTTATATGCACAATCCAAGTTTCAAAAGTCCTACAAAGTCTTACTTTAACAATCACAATAACTGTTGCTGATATAATAACAGTTACAGATCCTGATACAATTACAGTTAGTGGTCTTTTTTTGTGTTAAAAATAACTATCATCATTGAACATTTGAAAATGTCCTATTATTAAAAATGCATGTGAAATGTTCTTGGAAGTGCCTTTTGAGTTTGAATTTATTGTTATACACCGACTATGTTATAAAGTACACTTCCTTGCATCTACACTCATTGTCCATTTTATTAGCTCCACTTGCATACTGTAGTTCTCTACATACTTTATTAGCCCCTTTTTACCCTGTTTTGCAATGGTCAGGATCACTTCAGGACCACGACAGAGCAGGTATTATTTGGGTGGTGGATCATTCCCAGCACTGCAGTGACACTGATGTGGTGGTAGTCTGTTAGTGTGTGTTGCATTGCTGAGTGGATCAGATACAGCAGTGCTGCTGGAGTTTTGAAACACCTCAGTGTCACTGCTGAACTGAGAATAGTCCACCAACCAAAAATATCCAGTCAACAGTGTCCTGTGGGCACAGATAAAGGACTAGAGGATGACAAACACAAACTGTGCAGCAACAGATGAGCTACTGTTTCTGACTTTAGATCTACTAGGTGGACCAACAAGGAGAGTGGGTCTAATGGAGTGGACAGTAAGTGGACAGAGTGTTTAAAAATTCCAGCTGCACTGCTGTGTCTGATCCACTCATACCAGTGCAACACTCACTAACATACCACAACCATGTCAGTGTCACTGCAGTGCTGAGAATAATCCACCACCCAACTAATATCTGCTCTGTAGTGGTCATGTGGCTGCCATGACTATTGAAGAACTGGGTAAAAATGGTCTAACAAATTATGTAGAGAAGCGTATAGATTATAGTCTGTAAATGCTCCTAAGCAATATGGTAAGGTGGCCTGAAAAAATGAACAGAGGATGCCTCAGCATCAACAAAAAATCCAACAGTTTAACAATAACGCTCCTCAGCCAGGAATTGCAAGGCACCTTCTATTGTGCATTACATCATCAAAAGATTCAGGGAATCCAAGCAAATCTCTGTGTAAAGAAAAAAGCTAAAAAACAGAAATGCCCATGACCTTCGACCCCTCAGATGGCATTAAAAACGGTTTGAAAAGAAATGTTTCTGTAATAGATATCACCACATGGGCCCGGGAGTACTGTAAAACTGTTGTTAATAAACACAGTCTGTCACTGCATCCACAAGCGCAAGGTAAGACTGTACTATGTAGAGTGGAAGTGTCAATAGCATCCAGAAACGCTGCCAGTTTCTCTGGGCCGGAGCTCATCTGAAATGGACTGATGCACAGTGGAGACATGTTTTGTGGTCTGACAAGTCAACCTTTCAGATTGTTTATGGACGTCTGTGAAAGCATCATTTATGCTGAACACATTTTAGAGCAACATTTGCTGCCTTTTTCAGAGACGTACTTATTTCAACATAACACCAAGCCACATTCTACATATGTTAAAACAGCAGTACAGGGTGCTAAACTGGCATTCCTGTAGTCTACAACTGTCTCCCATTGAAAATGTGTGTTTCAAAAAGGAAAGATGACACAGTGGTAAACACGCTCCTGTCCCAGTTTTTAGAGCATGTTGCCGGCATCAAATTTATATGGTTTTCATTTTAATACTTTAGGTCAAACAGAATTTACTAATCACTGTTTTCTGCTTTTATTAGTATTTCACATACTGACAACTTTTTTGAGATTAGGTTTTTATTGTTATTATTATTATTACATATAGTATATACACCTATTTGTATCTAGATGTAGTATATACCCCATCATACACTGTATAGTCTTTACAGTCCTGTGCGTAATGTTTGTATAGTTATTGTATACAATTGTATATTGTATAGAGGCTTTTTTGATGTAGTGCACTGTTTGTCTACTGCTCGTCTGTTTGTTTGCACTGTTGTCGGCTGATCTTCTGTGTTAAATGTACCACTGTGTCCTGGGGTAACTATATTTCATTCCTCACACACATCTGTGGTGACAAGGAATGACAGTAAAGTTCACTTTGACTTTGATGCTTAAATCAGTGATCACCAATCTCATCCACAAAGTGCCAGTGTGGCTGCAGGATTTTGCCCCAATCAAGCTGAAGCACATCTAATTCCACTTGTGTAATGAGTTGGTCTCAGTCCTCAAACAATTGATGATTTTTATTGATGATTTGTTGCTCTTTGGTGGCTCAGAGACTTTGTGTCGATTCTCCTAAAATTCCTTAGGGGAAATAACATTAAACAAAAACAAGACATGAGATGAAGGAGAGATGAAGGAGAGAACTCAAGGGCACATGAGATTACTGGGGTCTTTTCCTCAAGAGAAATGTCTGAGCAGCAGGAGATTAAAGTGATGTGTTATTTTTCTTTCCTATGGCGTGTGCTCTTGCGTTGTTGGAAAGAAATCCTGCAGCCACACCGGCCCTTTGCAGATTAGATTGGTGACCCATAGATGCTAGACAATTTCCATTTGAGCTTTTTCTTATTGTTCCTTTTTCAATCCTGTTAAACAATCTTGCTCAACCAATCTTGCAGGATTCTACTTTGAAGCATTCCCTATTGGACAAACATGTTCCTAACCCTATGGACAGCCTAGGTCCTGCTCCTTATGACCCTGGGTGAGTCATAATCTCTCTTACTCTTCTGTTTCACCTCATGTGTCTCTTAATAAAAAATTGGTACTGTAACATTTTCAAGGTATTTTTGGGTTTTGTGTCCAGCTTTTATTGCACTTGGTTCATTTTGCTATGGACTGAGGGTGTAAGTTTGTGTATGTGCAGAGAGAGAGAGAGAGAGAGAGAGAGACATGAGCTGCATAGAGAACGAGTTGTTAAAGAGAAAATAGCTTGGCTTATGTATGGTTGTGGCCGACAACAGCTGTAAAATAAAGCACCACTACCTGTACAAATGCAGTCCCTCTTTTAATAGCAGTGAGCGCTACGATATTGATATAGAATCATAGTTAAACTAAACTTATTATGACGTGTGTGTATGCAGGGCTGGATTTGTGATCTTCTATGACATGGTGAAGGGTGTGGATGCCAGTTTTAGAGCAGTTTATTTGGTAGCTCGACTCTACTCTGGAGGGCAGGAGATGGGGTGGCCCACCCCTGTGCCATCTGTCCAGTGCCAGCCTGCTGGGGCTTTGGCTTCTCCGTTGAACAGAAACTCTGGAAACTACTGCTTACTGGCTGTCAAACAGCCTGTGCCAAGGTAATTCAGGTTTGGAAGCATTGCACAGATATATCCAGAGCTATTCAATCCAAGCCTAAATGATATCTTCTGAAAAATAATATTGCAACAAAAATAAAGCTGTGCACAAAAAATTAAATATCAATAACACTCTTCTTAGAGTTAAATGGCTTTTATCTTAATAAAGCTAAGGACAACCAGCCCTGTTTGTCCATTGCTGTGTTATAATAAATGATTTCTAATTAAAACAAGAATTTTAAGAATTTAGAATGAAGCTGTATTTAAAACTCTCACATGAACATACCACATCTCCTTGTAGGATGCAGCCATCTCCAGCCCTCTCTTTGGTGTTGGAGCTGCAGGCTGCTGGAGGTTTAGACTCATCTGGACAGGAGACTAATGGCTTCGTTCCCCAAGGCTGGACCAGGCTGCAGCTTTTTGACCAGCACAACCAGGTTCAGAGTGGATTTTGGAGGGTTCCAGTTCGCTGTCTGCCTGTGAGGCCTTCTCTCAGTCTAGGCCAGCTCAACTCTGTTCCTCAGGTAAAATCAAACATCAGATGTGTCTTGCTTCTAGCTACACTTACAAATAAAGGAGCCAAAAAGAGTTTTTTGTAGTGAAGACACTGAGCAACCACTTTTGGTTCCCTAAATAACCTTTCATTCAATGGATTTTTAAAGACTTATTTTTGTAAATGACAAAGAAATGAGTGTGAAGGCCTTTTTAAACATCAGAAAAACTCCACATATTGTAAAGGATCTGTACAAATTAAAGAGTTTTCCTAGAACTGCACGCCAAAGCCAAGACCGATTTAGGACTCTTTATTTCTAGATGGACAATCCAGCCAAAATGATAAAATCTGTTGTAAACATGCCTACTTGGCAACAGTCTATAGAGTAAGATTTTCCATTGAAAAGATAGGAAAACCCCCTTCTGATGATGCATCTTGAATATGGGAGAACTGCAACTGCTTTGGGATGTATTTTTGATGGTGGGCTGTTTAAATTTTTTCTAATGTTACTGTTAGGAAGTCCAGTATCTTATTGAAGCTGTATAACTGTTCTAAAATCATCCTTACAACAGAAGGAAAGAAAAAATCGATTACTCAAATGACAGAAATTACTCATCAAATGAGGAGGACAACAAGCTAAAAGCTGAAGTTAGTAATGTAGCTACCTGGATATCAAAAATAAATGCAACTCCAACTCATCCCAGAGGTATTGGATGGAGCTCCATCATGATAGAGAATGCAGTTCTACTGCTCCACAGCCCAATGCTGGGGGGCTTTATACCCCTTTGGCCAGTGCTTGGTGTTGGGCATAGTAATATTAGGCTCATGTGCGACTGCTCCAGAGCATCCGTTTCTGTACACAAGGAAAACAACTGAGATTGAACCCAGAGTTATACCATTTACCAGACATGGTAGGGACATGCACATGGCAACATAAACTCAAGACTGCACAGTGAGCTGTGGGCGAGCTCTCCTTAAGTAGAGCACGCACAGCTGCACCTGATCAGCCTCAATCAGGTCATCCCGGTTCTCTGACTCCTCCTAGTGGTTGGAGGTGGCCTAGCAGGAGGCTGGGATATTACACCGTTCTATTGGCAATGCTTTTCTCTGAAGACTATACAAGCTGTGTGTGCAACTGAATGCCTGAGTCAGTGATGAATGCAACTTAAAGTTGCCTAATTCACCAATTAGAAGCAAAGTCTGAATACTTTTGGACCTAAAGTTTATATCAGCACACTGTCGAATCTAATCTCTACAACCTTTTCTCTCCATGGTCAGTTGGGCAACATGGAGATTTGCCTTCGTTTAGTAAATGCTCGTGATGGAGGTGCACAGTCTCTCGTCAAGATCGATCCTAACAGTACCAACCATTACAAATTCCCACCAATGGTATGCAACTCACTGACTCTTTTCACTGTCATCCTTGCCACTCATTGCTTATTGATGTGTACCTTCTATTGGAACACTCTACATCATAATAAATACTGTGACTTTGTCTCGATTTTGTGTACTCTTTTAAATTAGACTCTGTTTTGAGGTCTGAACTCTGACACCATATCATGTCGTCTTCATTTTTGCAGGTGATATCACACTCAACAATGGTCTTGGAAGGCCAAGCCCCACAACTGCCAACACTTTCGTCTCATCCTTTACTTTCATCACATCTCCAAACTGATCAGAGGTGAGAATGAGAGATAAACCCCACCACAGTCTGATCTGGCCTGTTGTAATTAGCTTTGTGTGTTTTGTTGCTGAATTCATAGCACTCTTATTGATAAATCCATTACATAATGCAGGTGGGGATCTCTCACTCATCTCTACTGATTTGAAAGTTGCAATCAGATTGCGTGGATTAAGTTTTTAAATATGCTTTGCCTTTTACTTGTTTCTACTGAGTATTTGCTCCCTCACAGTGAATACTTTTAGATCTTGAAATGAAATGTGATATTAGTAGGGATGTAATAATCTACTTAACCCCATGATTTGATGCGATTCACAGTACTGGGTTCATGATTTGGTGTTGTGATATTTTGAAACAAATTCAAATGAAAAAAAAAGGATGACTAATCATGTTGCACAGCTTACTAATGACACTGGAGCTGGGAGTCAGGAGGCGTGCTGGAGTGAAGTGCTGTGTTAGATAGCATAATGTATAGAATGTCCATTCTTCACAATGCATTCTCAAATATGCACAGTGCACATTGTCACAATTTTGCAGCGTTAAACCCCTAAATAATCCCCTGAATAAACCCCTAAAACACAAACATTTTAAAGTATTACTTCATTTATTTAAGGAGCAAAGAGACCCAGTAAACTCAGTTACCCATGTGAAAAAGTAATTGCCCCTTAAAATTAATAACTTGTTTCATGACCTTTAGCAGCAGTCACAGCACGCTTCATATGATTAAATGTCAGCCTTTCATTATTGTGGAGGAGTTTGCAGAACTACTTTAACTGAGCATGAACTTCTTGTTTGAGGCCCAGCCACAGCGTCTCTATCGAGTCAGGATTTTGACAAGACCATTCCAAAACATGAATTGTCTTTCTTTTCAGTGTATTTGCTGTTCTCTGATGCAGTACAGAATTAACGGTTCCTTCAGTAATAGCAATACTGCAAAACGTCCTTCCCACTATCACCTCCATGTTTGAATCTTGATATGACGTTCCTATTGCAAAATGCAGAACATGCCTTAGAGCAGATATAAAGGGCCTGTGTGCACTTTTTAAATGGATGGTCCACAGCACAGAATCTCAAAAGGTGTAAGGTTTGTCCAGGTGCTTTTTTAGCAAATGTGAGATGAGTATTAATGTTTATCTGGTTAGCGGTGTTTTCTGCCCTACTGTTTTCCATGAATGCCAGTCTCTTTCTTACTGTTGAGTTATAAACACTGACTTTAATTGAGGCTAGAGAGACCTGCTGTTGTGGATTTTCTCCTGGAAACTTTGGACTTCCTGGGTGATTTCCTCTGGGACCTTGGGGAAATTTTGGCCACTGAAAAGATTCACCAATGGCTCTCACTGTGGTTTGGTGGTGTTCTAGAAACTAATCTTTTCTAGACTCATATATGTCAACAGCTTTTTCCCTCAACTCTTTTGAATTTTCTTTGGATCATGGCCTAATGTGCTAGTAAACATTTGTGGTGACTACATCACTCTGATGGAAAACTTTAATATGAGTGAGGTTTACATTAAACAGGGCTGGCTGCATTCAAGCCTGACAGTGTTCAATCAGCTGAATCTCTTTCAATTATATTTGGTTTAGTTGTTGCTTAAGTTGCTGAGAAGGCAGTTACTTTGTCACATGGGGGAGTTGTTTGTTCTATAAATAATATGAAAATGTATGTTTTTGCTTAAAGACCTAAAAACACTCACTATGACAAATCAGGAAGGGGCAAATACCTTTTCACAGCACTGTAGACTGGCAGTAAAATGAATTGCAGATACACTGAGTTGCTAGTTTATTAGATACCCCTGCCTTGTATCTATTAGGTCCATGTACCTCATAGGTCCACTAGGTGGAGTTGGAATTACAGACTGAATCCTGTTGTTGTTCTCTACCTCTATTCATCATCGGTCAGTTTCTGAGCACAGAATTGGCTTTGACAGCAGTGACACAGACATGGTCATAGCATCAGGCACAGAAACCCCTCTCTTGTAGCTGTACCTTGCTGGTTAGAGTTAGTTAGAGATTTACAGTTAGAGACTGTAGCCCATCTGGTGATGTCAGCCTTCCTCTAGCTAGTTTCTCGTTTCTGAAGCACTGATACTCTGAATTGTCTGTTTCTGTAATTTTTTGTGTTCATCAGTCATCATTATATCAAACAATGTTTGAGCAATTCTTCTTGCCTGCCAGTGTACACTGACCGGCCACTTCATTAAGTACACCTTCTTGTATTCACACTCACTGTCCATTTTATCAGCTCCTTACTGTATAGGTGCACTTTGTAGTTCTACAATTACAGACTGTAGTCCATCTGTTTCTCTGTGTACTTTAACCCCCTTTCACCCTCTTCTTCAGTGGTCAGACCCCCCAGCACCACCACAGTGCAGGTGTTATTTGGTGGTGGCCCATTCCCAGCACTGCAGTGACACTGATGTGGTGGTGATGTGTTAGTGTGTGTTGCGCTGGTATGAGTGGATCAGACACAGCAGCTGGAGTTTTGAAACACCTCAGTGTCACTGCTGGACTGAGAATAGTCCACCAACCAAAAACATCCACGGGCAGTGTCTTGTGACCACTGATAAAGGACTAGAGGATGACAAAATGCGCAACAACGTGGACCAACAAGATAGGAGTATGTAATAGAGTGGACAGTAAGTGTTTATAAACTCCAGCAGCACTGCTGTGTCTGATCCATTTGTGCCAGCGCAACACTCACTAACACGCCACCACCACGTCAGTGTCACTGCAGTGCTGTGTATGATCCGCCACCCAATTAATACCTGCTCTGTGGTGGTCCTGGGGGTCCTAACTATTGAAGAACAAGGTGAAAGGGGCTAATTAAGTATGCAGAAAAACAAAGTGCCTCTATATGGTAGGTGGAGCTGATAAAATGGACAATGAGTGTAGATTCAAGGAGGAGTATTTAATGAAGTGGCTGGTTGGTGAATATCATACATTAAATCACTCTGAATGTTCCAGTGCTTATCACTTTAATCACTTTAATGATCTGCATGACCTCGGAGTGCAGATTCTTCACTGATTTCATAATTTACTTGTATACTTTCCCATCTGCAAAGAAAATCATGCCAGTATTATACCTGAATTATAAACTGAATAAAGAAATTAACAATGGCTAAATTCAACTGAATGATTTGGTCGATCACAAAAGATCCTTCCATATCCATAATACATACACTCTCACAGCACATCACCCCACAATCGCTCTTTCATATGTGGGTGTCAACTGAGATATTTTAAGGTAGGAAATGAAACAAAAGAAGCAATGCATTCTGCTTTTCACTTTCTCGTTTGTTTATTCTTGACTACGGTTGTGCTTTGTTTTTAGAGGCAGTGAGGATGATGGAGACAAAGATGGCAGACCTTAGAGATGGAAGGGGGATAGACAGAATAACTGGAGCTCCATAAAAAGCATTCATCTTTTGACTGACTGGCTGTTGTCCAAATGAAGGGTGAGTCTAAAAAAATAGGCCTTTCTGTAAATAAATGAACATGTGTAGTTGCAGATGTGTAGAGATGCAGGGATGGTGTACTGTTTTTCCTCTGTGTGCTCCTCCATCAGACATAATGAGTTCATGTATGGGGGCAGTGGGTACACATCTTACTGACATCCACAGTGAGTCAGTGTACTTTGCCAGCTCACTTCTTCTGGGTGCATGCAAGTGAACATAACCTATGAAGTTGCTCAATAGCTGTTCTTTTAAAACAACCCACAAACAGCAAAATATATGGTGGTCCCACATGGTGCACTAGCATTCTTCCTTAAAGGGGAATTCCACTGAATTTTAAAAATCCCTGTATAATGCAATCACTAGATGTAAACAAAGTCAGAGTGGTTTGAAATGAAATGCTCCATTTCAGAGAAATTGCTCATAACAGTGCTGACAGAAAGGCATCATAGGGCAAGTTATGACCCAAAGTAAACAAACATATTTTTAGATTTACTACTATTTTACCATCATTAACATTACACATATAAAGACACATGTAGGTTCACTGATCGTTTTGGATAGCAAATAAAATGGCTATATTTTCCATTGTAGACAGAGCAAGACCTGGTTCCTATCATCGCCACTGTAAAGAAATAAATGATGTGAAACTACTCTGAAGGAGATCAAGTTCTACTAAAAATACCTCAAGCAACATAATACAGGGTAATATGGCTAAAATGTCAGGACAGTAAAAATGGACTACAGCTGAAAATTGATCACTTTCCTTTCACTGGCACTATCTTGATCAATATGTATTGTCAGAGACAGACAAAAATGGTACATGCAGTACCATTGCATTTTCAATCCAATCTGTTTCTGCTTGTGCTTCTATAATCTGCCTTAACTCAGCAGTATGTTACATAGTGACCTCATCAAGCAGAGAAAGCCACTTCCATAGGATGGGGGCATAAAGCATACCTGACTGAGTGCTCACCCTAACTACAGTACTCCTCTGGGCCTGTTTATCTCTCTATATTATATATACACACACAATATTGTCAGGTTTTAAGTGCATGGCTGCCCTTCAATAACTAAGATAACGTCTTACATGTCCTTACTAGATTTGCATAACAATATGGCAGATGTGTCCTGTTATACTAACTCCTACTGTATATTCCTTGACTGCTGTTAAAAATGCTTAAGTTCACACCACAGCAAGTGTTGGGTATTCCTGAACAACCTCAATTAAACTGCACCTTTTTCTACTTAACAGCTATTTATTAGAACTTGACTCCTCCAAAATATCTTTATCATTTAGGTGATGGCTCTGACCTCCAAGGAACTTCTTCTGCTGAAAAGAGTCATGACTACTGGAATAACAGGATGTGTACTAGACCATCTCCACAGCTACTTTCAATTCTACATCAGTCTTGCTAGACATTACATACATTTTTTCAGACCGAGAAATAAAATATCCTAGTCATCTAAAACAGATGGAACCATGTTCTCTTCCCAGGAAACTAAGTGAATTAAAATAAAGGCAAATCTTGTGACTATGAAAAGTACTGGCAACATCTGATCTTATGCTTTTAATGCCCTTAGAAAATAAAATACCATCTCCACTGCTACGTGTTTTCACTTCATTGTCTTGCCACCCTTTGCTTAGTCATTTTGCAGTTTCCCCTCCCTTAAAATAATCCATTTTAAACCTTAACTTCAGCACTCCATTTTAAAGAAAGCAAGTGCCACAAATTTAAGACAAGCTGACATATGCAAATACCCTTTATTGAAACTTTACTACAATAATACAAAAATTGGACAGACACAGAAAAGGTAAATGTCTTATTTACAAAACAAAAAGCTGTTTATGGAGAGACTTGAGGCAGGCATGCTGTGCTGGTTGGAAGATCAGTGGTCAGCCAGGAGTCCCATCACGCTGAGGTTTCCACCGAGGAAGAGGAATTCACAGGCTGCAAGAAGAGATACACCATTAGGAAACTGAACCCAGTAATGAAACTTAACAGCAAAGGAGTGGAAATGGCACCCCTTTTGATTCACACTGAACACTCGCACTCATCTACTGCCCTATAAGCCATGAGCTCAACCGATAAAAGCAACCCACGATCCATCAAGTGGACACCAAGCAAGTAAGATCCTCAAAGACTGGGTCCATATAGGTTTGTATGAAAAGGCATGGTACAATGCATCCATATTAGCCTAGTCTGTCCTCAACCAGGCTGCTCAGAAGAACCTCCACTGGCCCTACAAGAAGAGACATTAAGCCTATCAACTCGCCTCCTGCTCCATTTTCTCCTGGACTCCATTGCTGTTGCTGGCAGAGTCGCCGCTGCCATTAACTGCAGTCTCCTGTTTGACCTTTTTAGCATCACTGTCCTTTTTTGGGCTCTCCTCTTCTGGTTTCCTCTGTGCAGGAATACAAAGCAGGATAGAACAAACTTTATTTCCTTCCCTTGTACCTCCTCCACCTCAGCTCCTCATCCAAGCTACTGCAAAAACTAGCGCAAAACACCACAACTAGTCAATCATTGTACTCAAGACAGTCAACTCTGAACCACCACGCTTCACATCATACCCTCACTAGTTACAGAACAATCCAACATGCCTCATGTGAAAGTAAGGGGCACAAAACCTTTACACACAAGATTCGGTTTCATGTACTGAAAGTCAACACAAGGGACCACTGAAGAGAAGACAAGACAGCCACCCAACCAAAGTAAGTAGTGAATCATTCAAAATATAGTTACTTGGACACTGACCTTCTTACGGACTAGATGAGAAATATCTGATGCAGCTTTTGAAGATGATGCACCATCAGATGGCTTAACAGCAATCTGAAATCAAAGCAGAGTAGTTATGTTTCATCCCTCACATGCTGTTGAATTAAAGGCAGTAAAACAATTCCATATCCTAAGCAATATGTAGCTGTAGTAGTCCTTTACAAATGAAGATTACCAAACCTGGCTGGCTGTAGATGAAGATGGGCCACCATTTTCAGCTGGGAATGCAGACGATGTAGATGCCCCTCCCTGAAACAGAAGTGACCAAACAACATTCTGATCAAACTACGGTTCTCCAGCATCCCCTCAAGTACATTTGTACAGCTTTGCTTTAACTCACCAGGGTCTGATGAATGGCTTCTGATGCTGCAGCTGCTGTTTTCTGGCTTTCCTTTGCATCTTCTATTTTCTCAGCAATCTCTGGCAGCAGCTGCTTCAGTTCCTCTAGCTCACTTTTTTCCTCCTTTGCTTCCTCAGCCCCTTCTGCTTTGTCTATCGCTTCCTGAAGCATGGCTAGAAAGAACATTGAAAACAAATTTAAAGATCTTGACTGAAAAGTTAAGATGTACCACAACCATGTTTTATGGTCAAAATGGTAACTATTCACACACATCAAAACATACCCAAGCGGCTCTCAATGACTTTGATGGAGTTGTTGAAGTGCTCGATGGCCTGGCTATACTGAGCAGTGTAGCTAAAAGTTGTGCCCAGCTGGTAATGAGTTTCTGCCAGCAGACGACTATGAGCGGGCAAGTGCTTCAGCTGTATGGCCAAGCACTCCTGGAAGTCATCCAGGGCTTGGGTGTAGTTACCTACATAAAGACAAGTTCAGCTGATCATCAAAAGCTCTTGATGTGTGGCAATTTCAAACTGCTCAGACACCAAGTTTTGGTCATTTAAAAGACAACTGAAGTAACTGGGTAGGAGGTAACCAGATGTGGTAGAAAGCACAAAGTAATTTATACCAAGAATGCATGGCATACTATCAAAATAAGTCACTGGCCAAATTAAGCCACCATAGCTCATCATGATGAAAGAGGTTAATTTCAATACAAGTTTAGTTTCTCCAAGTAAAAAGTGCTTCATTTACTTAATTGCAGATTCATGTTTAAAATATAAACATACCAGATTCAGCACCAACTTCTCCAAGTTTCAAGAAGATCTGTGCTGCCATTAACTGGTCCTCTTTGCTCTCCTTCCTATAAATAGACAATAGTCATCTCCCTTTTCAAAAGAACAATTAAATCTAACAGGATTACTTAAAATGGATGGTCTCCAAACACTCATACCTTTTATAAATAACTTTAGCCACCTCTAGCATCTCCCATGCTAACTGGAGATTACCAACTTCATCCTCTTCACTCTCCTATGAAGAAGAAACAGTAAATTTAGAGTAAATTTAGGGGAAAACAAGTGTAAAGCCTCAACCTCTAAAATACTAACCTTGTCTTCATCTTCGCCCTCCCCTTCATCATCCTCCTCGTCCTCCTCCTCCTCCTCTTTGTCATCTAAAAACAAATTAGTCAGACATTAGTTTAAAACTAGGAAACAGGGCATTTATCATATACTTAAGTCATGACCACAGAGCCCAGAAGAAATAAAATGTTCACCAAGTGAGGAAAAAACTTCCCGCCCTTGTTCCCAGTGCTGCCCTGCATGCCCATTATTTCTACCTCCACCCTCTTCCTCCATAGGCTCTGTTTTTTCTTCATCCCCCTTTTGTTCTGTGCTCTTCACATCTTGGTCTGCATCCTTTTCAGCTTGATCCGCAGCAGCTCCCCCCTGTTTTGAGGCAGCAGTTCCTTCCTCTACCTCCATGGTCTTCTCTCCATTTTCACTTTTCTCATCACTTTTGACAGAACACTCTGTAGTCATCTCTCCATTTTCAGCTGCCTTCTGTTCACTTTTGACTGGAGACTTCGCAGTTGTCTCTTCCTTTTCATTAGCCTTCTGTTCACTTTTGACTGGAGACGCCATAGTCGTATCTTCCTTTTCGTTAGCCTTCTGTTCACTTTTGCCTGGAGATGCCATAGTCGTATCTTTTTCATTAGCCTTCTGTTCACTTTTGAGTGGAGACTCTGTAGTTGTCTCTCCCTTTTTAAGGGACGATTCAGTCTTCTCATTTTTGACACAAGAATCTGTACTGTCTTGCTTCTGTGCTTGCACATCCCCTGTGTCTTTTACCTCTTGCTCCTCTTTCTTTACCTCTCCCTCAGAGTCCCTCTTGTCCTCCGACATGGCATCATAAACCTGTTCACGGAGCTCATCTCTGGTTTTTTCTATTGTGGTGGAAATATTGAAGTTTAAGCACTGGATTCTCACCTGAATCTTTATTAAAACAAAAAAATCTATACAAACCAGACACTTGCATAAATGTACAAACCTAATGTTAGACTGTAGTTTTCAGTAACGAAAGGTCACTTAACTGAAGTTTTTGGAGAAAAGCAAAGTACCTAGACATAAACCTCAATGCTCCATTTATAGGCCAGGCCTCTGCAATAAATACAACTAATAAGCAAGATCCAGTGTTTCCATACACCAAAATACCAACCATCCAAGTTATCTGCACTCTCAATCTTGGAATCATTCTGCTTCTCGCCCTCCTCTGATTCCTCAGGGACTCCTTCCAAAGCATTACCCAAGACTGTGTTCTCCATCCTGCATGGGTACAGACCAAGTGATTTAATACTTTAAAATATATGCAAAATGCATGTTTGAGGTTCAAGAGCACAAACCTATTAGACCTGTTACCTGGCAAGCTCCAGCAAGGACTTCCCACATAAGAAAAATGCCTCTCCGCATTCATCAGCAGTATCACCATATTTTTCAGCTCTGAAGGGATAGGATTTCTCCAGTAAGTTTAAGATCAGACCATATGATTGACTTACAACACATATGACATTTGCTGGACATGTTATGACTTGTGAAAATGCCAATTAGTCTATGAAATTAACTGAGATTATGCTTAAGACACCTCCCTCTTGCAAATTATGACTACATTATACTCACAGCATGGCACAGGCCTCCTGGAACACACTGACTGCAGACACAACGTCACCCATGACCAGGTGCCTGTTTCCCGTGCCAATCAGCTTCTTCGCTTCCTCAGCCACATCTACAGAGCTGCAAGTAATTTGCCATTTTAACCAAGTTACAGCACATGAAGAGATACTTTGACACAAAATAACTATTACAGTAGTAGAGTGGAGACCATCTTACCTGTCAGCTGCACTGGACGAGCAGGGTTTCTCTTCCATACTGCAAAACAAAAACACCATTAGCCAGTTGTCTACTTGAAAGTGTAGATTAGGATAGTTCAACCAGGTACAGCATGTATTATAAACAGAACAAAAGCTTATGTAAGTTACACTTAGTGCATGCAAATAGTACAGCTTGCAGGTCTTTTACTAACAGAATCAAACTTTTAGTTTAGCCTGCCAGGTAACTAACTTACCTAAGCTAGCTAACTAAACTCACTTCACAGTTAGCTATGTAGGTTAGCTAACCTAGCTAGTTACAAACCTTACCATCAAACTCAGTGAGATGTTTATACTCATGAACCCAAATGTGGCATGTCTTGACGCAAAGACTCAGTCTTGAGTTACAGAAGTAACTAACCTAGCAAACCAGTTTTCTGATCACAGAAGTTTAGACACTGTCCTGTCAGGCTTCTTCCAAGAGAGAGATGCTGGGGCTCTAATTACTAGAGAAGCTGAGTTTGGTTCCTGTGCGAGTCCACAGTCAGGGGCGGGACACGCAACAGCTTAACGTTAGCTACACTTTCTCAGGGTGGCAGTAATAATTCTCAGTCTCCACACCACGATAACAGGAGAGATCAAATCCGATACCAGTGCTATCGCAGACGGACCTAAATTCCGTTTAGAAGCGTTTCCGCCCCACACACAGCTCTGTGCTGTAAACCCAAAGGTGCTGTGTTTCTCAGAACAGCAGGTTAACGATATTTTAGCACCACTGAAGCGTGAACACACTCGCGGATGTGCCGTACGGGGTCATAATAAGCAGAAACTTAAGTTACAGAGACCGAATCACTCTGAAAATGAAGTTAACGCTAGAGAAGTTAGCAGGCGCTGCTGACGGACTTGAACATTTTCGTTATTTGGCTGAGGCTGGTCAGAGTAAGTAACGTTAACTAGCTTAGCCAGCTAACGTTAGCGAGTTTAGCAGCAGCTACAGCGGCTCTCCCGCCAAACCGGAGAGTCCAGCACAACTACACCGCTGTCCGTAAATGAGGGCAAGCAGGAACCGAAACTCAGCCAAAACATGTCAAACTGCAGCTCAGCTACCGCAGGCAGTCATTCCTCCCTCTGTGCACACACATTCAGCTCTCCTCTTCCTCTGCGGTCCAGCAGTAAGAAATGAGAAGTTCTCCGAGCTCCGACGCGCTGACTGTCCGCCTCTGAACCTGCAGCTCAACACAAGCGCGTCCTTAACTCACCTCTCGGCGGCTGAAGCGGTGGCCGTTTCTTCTGGCATGTTTGATAGAGGCTGAAATACCAACGCAAGCTTTAGTCGACAACTTGAGCTGTGCACGCGGCTCAATTTCACTCAGAAGAGGAGAAGATGGCAGATTTCTGCTTCTTCAGTTCAGTCCCGCTTTGTTGGCGCCTTTAAATACGGATACAGCAGCCTCACTTCCGCCGACCTTTCACCTCCTGCCAAAACGCGGGAGAACGATTTTAAAGGGCAAGAAGCGCTTTTCTCAACTCACAGCTTCTCCTCTCCTCCCCTATCCTGTGGAGCTCAAATTCATTCATTCATTCATTCAGCCAAATTAATTAATTCATTTCGGAATGACAAAATTACACCCTTTCAATAGAAACTGGCCCCTGTTTTTATGGCCAAACAAACCTACTTTTGATGGAAATCTGTTAGTCAAAAAGCACTAGGACAGCAGTGTGTACATCCTAACTGTGCCTGGATTCACAGAAAAGCAAAGTAAAGATCATCTTTTCATTTTCAGTATTGCTCCTTACTATATGGTACAGATTACAACTAATGAATTTCAAATAGACTTTTAAAACAATTTTTATTCATGTTAAATTCTGATATATTAGAAGTTGTCTGTGATTTGCCAAAAAGAGCTAAAATGTATTTACCACGACAGAAAGACAAATTCAGTTCAGATTAAATTCACTGTACAGACAAATTCAATTCAGAAAAAAATATACATGCAATTTTTAATGGCTTAGTTTGATACTCTGACTTAAAATTACTTACTTAAAATTACTTAAGGGCCTGTTGGTGTTACTGAGGGCTTTTGGTGCACTGAAGGATTAATTTAAGAATGGGTGATGCCCCTGATTTTCTTTTCAATACGATACTAAATAATACTAGGCTAATCCTGATAGCGATACAGTTGCTGCTTCTACTTTCAAAAGTCTATTTGTGCACATAAAAGGGAAAAAAACTTTTGTGATTTCTACAGTGAAAAACAGTAACTGTAGGCATCAGAAATTATATGTTTAAGTCTTTTGCATTAGTAATAACGTCAGATCAGATTATTTAGCTGAGTGAAATAACTCCATATGACCCACTCATGTAGCCATCTTTGACTGTGTGTGTATGGGAAGCAGAGGGAAGACAGAAGAAAAAGTAGTTCCTATTGTACAAATTTGTTGTACATTTATTCATGAAGATGATTTAAAATACCTCAAGAGCTTAAAGAAACTCTTAAACCCATCATGGTCATATGAAGTCACTATAGCCATTATTTTCCTTATTAAATAGCAAATTCATGCAGGCAGAGCATTCAAGAGTGACTTTTTAACTCAGCATTACCTTCAGTCTCTTTCAGTGTTAATCAATAACTGACTCCATTTTGTTGTACATTTTTAAAATGTACCTTTCATCAAACTCATGGTTTTAATTCCAGCTGAAATTGTGATTCAGTGAGGTTCTATGACATCAGTGGAAATTATTGAGGGCTTTTAGTGTTTTGAGGGTTTCATTTCAAAAATGGAAAAAGTCTTTCCAAAAGTTCTTTTGCATGAGAAGAGCTTATTTAACAAAACGTCTTGACATTCCAATTTTCATTCCCTACGAAAATGAAGGAAGAAAAAGACATACTTACACCTGAAATGTGCAGATACAGCCTACATGTGTAATACATTTAGCATATTTCAGCATGGTGAACTACAGGTTGACAGGTCTTATACACTTAATATATTCATATATCTGATCTGCCTTGATTGCTGATATTAAAGTGATGTATAGAACATTTCATTTAATAAGCATGTTGAAAATGACTTTACAATAGCAAGGCTGGGGAGGATGCATATACTGGATGGTGCAACACCAAGTTTTTATGAAATGAGCTGTTTGGCTGGCAGCATTTATAACTCACATTAAATATGTATTTTAAGGAAACTGAAACATGGGACACCGGAGCAGGCCAATCACATAAAAATGCTCCTAAAGTCTGCAATTGTAAATCAATACAACAGATCACAAATCCTCCAATCAGTAAGAAAAGCATTTATTGTGTAGTTTACAGTATACAGAAGGGTCAGCTGAAGTAGGTTGGAAGGCACAGAGTCTTGCAGCAAGATGCGTTAATAAGGATCATTGAAGGGGTAGTGAGGATGTCCTGCATCCCTCGGCACGTGCTTGCCATCAACCTGCAAAGGAGGATAAATATCAAAAATGCATCTCTGTCTCTTAAAGTAATCATCAAAATTTAAAAAACTACACCGTTACTCTTTAACATGGCAGGATATGGAATAAGTCAGCCATGAGAGTCCTAAGTTTTATCCAACATACAAACAGTGGAGCACAACCATTCACTGTCCCCAAGACTTTCTGGTATCCATGCATGATCAGGCAGGAACCTGTGAAAACTGCCCAGAAGCCGCCACTGATAACATATTAAAACTAATTCCTCCCTTAGTACAAAGATTTCTGAAAGTGAATTTCAGATTTACAGCCTAATTTTTTGAATATTTTGACTGAATAGTTTGTAACAACAAACAAAAGTGAAAAAAAAAGCATAAATGTTTACAACCAGAATTCATCAACTGCCCACTGGCTTTTATTTTCATAATGTTTTGAGTCAGCAGGTTTCCTTTTCTTAAATCTAAATTGATTTTTATCAATGATAATCAATCATACGCTACATAAAATTGTGCAAAGTGAACAAATCTACTACAGGGAACAATCTTGAATATGGAATATGGGGTGTTTGCTACAAATTCAAGTGCACAATTTCTATTTATTTGGAGAGTTGTTAACATATTATAACACTTATAAGCCAGGGCTAAAGAAACTTACAGTAATAAGTGGCACTATGTATCGGCAGCCATTATTCAACGCTGTCACACTGTTCATTTCTTCAGCCTCTAGAGTGAAATCAAAGACCTACAAGCAGACAAACATGGCTTTAACATGCTGAATTACCACAGTGATGCAAGATAACAATAAATATTACTTATTTATAATGTTACATGCAACATAAATAACCTGTATATTTTCTTTGATGCGAGACTCTGTCACACTCTTTGGAATCGTCACTACTCCTCGCTGGGTTTGCCACCTGTATAAGGTTGTATAAGATGCTCTTTCGTCATATTTTCCATCAAAAATGCATTATAAAACATATAGCTCAATTCACTCTGTCTAACAGTAATCTGCTAGGTTACTACATGTTACTGCCACACTGCTTTGTGCATACTGTAATTACCTGATTATAATTTGTGCAGGAGACTTGTTGTACTTCTTGGCCAGAGCAGTAATGACTGGCTCCTCTAACACAACTGGCTCATCCGGTCTTTTCCAGGCTCGGTCTGGAGAACCCAGCGGACTGTAGGCGGTCATCACTATCCCCCGTTCCCTGCAGTGAGCAAGTAGCTCCACCTGTGCAAGGTATGGATGGCCCTCCACCTGGATGATGCAAGTATTTATTTCAGTAGGTTTTTAAGCAAGAACCAAAGGAGAGGGTGATTTTTTAAAAATCAAAATAATAAAAGAACATTCTTCTAATCCAACCTGCAAAACAGTAGGCTTTATGTTGGCCACTGACAGGATGTCATCAATCTGACGGCTGTTGAAGTTTGAGAGTCCAATGGCCCTCACAAGTCCCTTTTCCACAAGTTTCTCCATGGCAGCCCATGTCACTTTGTAGTCAATATCATCATACAGTATTGTCCCATCTTCCTTTTTAGGGAAAGGATTATCCCCACGTCTGGAAAAAAAAGGAACAAAAAACACAGTCATGATAAGTCATGTCAAAATTTCATCTGAAAATGAATAATTAATGTGATAAGTGCAGCTATTTCAGTAGTTATTACTACACAGCATAGATATCATTTCTGGTTAACTTTAGAGGTGAATTTCTTAGTGTTTTAATAGCATCTGCTGTAATTTCGTGCTGAACTTTGTGCTAAATTTGTGCTAAATGACCCTGAAAGAACACAGTGTTTGAACTGAACCAAGCTACACCAACAAGTTTGTGACAAGCTCCAACTGTGAGGTGGTTTGGTGACAGTGTACATCGGTAAACACTGCTTAGAACAGGGGGCTCACTGGAAGGCGTGGGGCCAGTGAATGAGATAGAGGTCTAGGTACTCCAGCTTCAGGTCTTTTAAGGTCTTGAGCAGGGCCGGCTCCACGTCCTCTGCATAGTGCCGTGTGTTCCACAGCTTAGAGGTCACAAATACGTCCTCTCGCCTCAAGGTCTGAGAGTAAGGATAGAAAGAAAGACATTTTCAGTTTTTAACAACTCGGGCTTAAATTAGCATATTGTCGCTGTCTCTTTTTTTTTTTAAACATAACATTTGAAAACGTCAGCTGCCCTTTCCATTGTCTGAAACTTTCATGATGAGTGGAACAAAATACTTGATCAAAATCTCACTGCATTAACTTACATATGCAAAAGTTTTAATACACCCAAGTCAAATTATATGTTTTCTTGATTTTCTAAGTAAAAACACGTTAACACACCAACAAGCTTAAAAAATCTGCCAATTTTAGTGCACAATTTCTGTATATTTGTTGAGTTTAAGTTTTGGGGGAAAAATAAAATGTGCCCTTACTTTTGCACTTTTTACATTTTATTTTTACCCCAGTATGTTAAATTCAGCAAATAAACAGTAATTGTGCATTAAAATGTGCAGAAGTGTGTTCTCTGTAGAGGATGTGATAACTTGTTAACACCAGGGGCACCCCAATATTTGCATATGACTGTACATTGGAAGTTAAAAGTGTTTTTTCCTTCTACTGTAAAGTTATTATTTTGCAGATCCAAGGCTTTTTTCAAGCAGCAAAAAACAAAAGAAGAAATACATAATCTCTTTTGGAACAAAAACATTGTATCTCCAAAATGGTAACTTTAGAGGAGGAGAAGCAGTCTTAGTTTTAGTGTGGATTAATGCAGCAAGACTTTATCCTGAGTAACCTGGGTTGAAAAAAGACTATAAAACAGAGATACATTGTTTTTCCTCCAACAGCAATGATATTAAAGTAGATGATATAAGATTAGTGGGATTAGTGTAGATTAGTGTAGAGTTTCCATGTCTCAGCTGTATGATCTTCTAATTGCTGGCTGCACACTTTTGCTAGGGGGCAGTATACACAATTGTATGCAACGTATCAGTGATCTACCAGCTCTCCCAGAGTATTTCACTCTAATGCAATGGTAATTTGTATAATGCAAACTTATTTGAAACTGTGGTGCACCAAGCAAGGTAGATGGCTAAAACAGTACAAGATTTATATTCTTTTTTTTTTTTACATAGCTTACTTAATCTGCTTGGCAGACTCACTTTGTCAGGCCCCAGCATCTCCTGGAAGGCTTCACCAATTTCTGGTTCATTTCCATAAATGGCAGCACAATCAATGTGTCGATAGCCAGACTGAAGTGCCCAGATAACCGCCTGCTTTACCTGCAATTAAGAATGTAGAGGAAGAATACGTGAAAGAAGCCCTGCTTTTTCCATTACAAAATAAAGATGCTAATACTACATGTTTATATCAATACATTAGATGATAATGCAGTCTAATTTAAAACTCACCTTTCCAGGTTCACTCTTCCATGTCCCTAGACCTACGAGGGGCATCTTTCGCCCAGTGTTAAGAACAGCAAAGTCATTCATGCTTGCTTTGTGACCCTACAGATGTAAAAAGAGAGAATTTCCTTTTTTTTTTAAATCAAATCAAACTCTTCGATACGAACATGAGCCTGAGTAAAACTAATGCACTGAGCCTGAGTAAAACTAATGCAGATTAAAAAGCTGTTTTTGCTGTGTGTCTAAGAAAGGAAGGAGGAACCTGCTGAACCTGCTGACTTGTCAGCTGACTTCCCCGACTTCCCCAGAGGACCGAAACAATAACCATGGCCACATTTGAATGCACTTGGTTTAGGATAAGCCTTCTGTGCTTTTAAATTTTAAATATGCATGAGGTTTATTTAAAAAAAGACATTTTTTTCAATCTAAAACACTCGGTAGAGAAATAAAACCTTTACTGTACTATTTGACAATCTATCATGCTCGTTAAACCTCACTGTGGCTAACTGCATGACTTTTCCAGCAGAAAATCCTACTAAAACATAGGAATGTGTACATCTGGAGTTTGACGGTATTGATATAGACCACAATACACTCTATTAACTACATTATCTGTAAAAACATACTGGTGAATCGATTAGACACGGAAAATAACTCCTATTTAAAGCTGCTTAAATAATTCACCAACTCACTGTGTCCTCAAAATAGATGTGTACGGCAGTAAAGAAAAGATAGCATTATGCCCGTCTCTCTTTCCTAGACTGTGGTGAAAGCGTACCAGACTTCGGCAGGTGCGATAAACCACATGAACTGCAAACCTCAGGAGCTGCATTTACTTTACATTACATTTACATTAACTAGCCAGCTTCCTATTCGCCTGCTTCTTGTTCATATTTTCCCGTTCCACCTTAAATGCAATAGAATGTAACTGCCGCGCCATTTAAGGTGGAACGGGGAAATTCGTATAAGATTCTGATTTCAGGTCGTGCATTTTTTCCCTCTGATGACACTGACGCTCTCTGTCTGCCTACCACTAACACACAGTGTATACATTCAGACTCGACTTTAACATTTACTCACTGTATTTATCGCTCTGCACAGAACAAAATCCTCGCACTGTCCCACCAAAGCCAGATCATAAAATCTTTAATCTTGTTCGTTTTACTTTCATATCACTGCTGACGCTATTCAATCCATTTCCGGTTCGTGGATGCCATCCTTTCACACTTCCAGTTTAAAAGCCCCCAGGAAGCGCTCAGCACTTCAGACTTTGCGACTAATCTATCCTGTGAAACTAACAATAGACTTTGCTAAGGGTTAAACTGTGAAATTTAATCTTGTTCTTATTCAAGAATATATTTATTATTTTATATTTTATCATATTAATTTATACGTTATTTTAAACATCTGTTATGAAAAAAATCTATAGTAACACTAAAAGATTCCTATACGAGTTCTAGTAAATTCAGACAAATTATGTTGTTTAATGTAAATTCTGTCCGAGGAGGGTGGGTTCTGTAAGTGTGTGCTCGTCCTGTGTTACAGATGTACTCAAACTAATTGTTCTTGGGTTCTTGTTTTTATTTATTATTTTTTTTCAGAAGTGGCACTAGCCATTTACTGCTGGCCAGCATTTTGCTGGGTGGTGGGGGAGATCATTATATTTACATGTTACCAAGTGCTAAGTTTTGAAAATAGCGCCTCATGCTGTTCATAAGGGAGTCAGTAGTGTAAACTATCACAAAACGTGACAAAAAATTGACTGATTGCCCCCATGACCTATATTCATCCATACTGTCGAGAGCTCTCAACGTTACATCAGTTAAAGTGGGGATAACTTAATGTTTTAAACACACAGGGGTTTATACTGAACTGTCTCAGGGGTGGTACCCTGAAGATACGTCTTGAATACCATTTATTTGGGGAGCGTAATCTATTTCAACTACATTGACTGAACATACTTTTTTTATTGTTTTTTTATTTTATTGTTCTATTTTAGATTATGCAAATGAACAAACATATAACCTTTACCTGGGAAAGGCATATTTAACACAATTGGTTAAATTTACATTGTACCTTAAAAAAAATGTACTAGTACAGTTCCTTTTATTTTACATTGCACGTGCTTTAAGATTACTCACATAATTCAAACTTTAAATACCCCATATACCATGAGAACAACACTGTACAATATTGGCAAATGTGGCGAGGTAGCTTTGTAACTGTAAATGTTATGCAATAGCTCAGCAACTCCGAAATTAGTAACAGGAACACATTCACAAGAATTACTGAATATAATTATTGACCAATATTGCTTACGTTTGAGATCAGACTTAGAACTGGTGCATTTACCTGTGTGATGCAGGCTAATCAATAACTATTTTCAAACCTTGGAACTTTGTCCACTGTGTGATAAGCAGCTAGTACTGCTACTGATTGCCACTCCTGAGCGGCACATGCCAGTGCCTTTACCCTCAGTAAATGGCTAGTGCCACTCCTGAAAAAATAATACATAAAAACAAGAACACTGCGTTCCTCTTTTCCTGTTTAATAAATACGCTGATAAATAGTCTATATATACTTTAGATTTCGCATGAATAACACCACAATGAATTCAGCAATTAGTTTGAGTACATCTGTAACACGAGCTGCTTTCTTCAGCTCTCCGTGCCACAACAAAAGCCCAAAATGACAGACTATCTGCACAGAGTCTTTAGGTCAACATTCCTCCATGACTTTTCCCAGGTTCTGATGGCCGATGGTGGAGCTATGATGTGCCGCTAGTTAGCCCAGCCGCGTAGCCGCTGTCCAGAGTCTTTGCTTTACTCACAGGAGCTGTTGGTATGTGCCTGTTTTCAGAGGCACACGCCGTTTCTGTGTGGCAGGTGCCACTGGCGAGTGCCACTAACCGAGTGGCACGAGTGGCATGTACGTGGCCAGTACGTGCCATTTCCGGACGGCGGAGTTGCCACTTCCTGCTGCCAGATGCCACTTCGGGACTGAACCCCTGCAGGTTATTTCTTTTCTAACTGACGAGATATAACAAGTACAGACAAACAAAGCAACTATTCATGTATTAAACAACAAACAAATAGTATCTAAAAGGGACAAAAAATACAGTTTAAGGGCTTTTTTTTTAACAAGTTTCAGTGCCTTACTTAAGTTTTAACTCATTCTTCCAGTGTTCCAGATCAGGTTTAATTTTAAAATATCTATGTTTACGTATAAAGAACATCCCCAATAACAGCACAACATCGAAAACAAAAATAATTCAAGTTCCTGTGTTAAAGAAAAACACCAAATATCACTGTTTTCACTGTCAGGGGTGACAACTCAGTCTCCCTGGACGGTCAGCTTCGCAGATTATTCCAGAAGGACTGCACTGACTCACAGTGGAAGGACACATGTACCAAATTTTCAATTTCTCTTTCACAATATACACAGTTATTCATCTCAAAATTACATCTCAGTCTCAGAAATTCATTTGTTGGGTAAATCTCATTTAAGATTTGTAAATTCACCTCTTCTACCTTAGGAGGAAGTGGGAATGAAATGTATCTTTTCCTTATTTTCTTAACAACATCAACTCCATGTTCCTTGAGAACATATTGTCTTCCTGCTGGGTTACGGTAGCAAAATTTTAGTAGAATGCTTCTAATAATTCTGTTGATACAAAAGTCAAATCCCTCAATGCGAAGCTGTCAAGATCTTAGGGTACAGGATGTCTACTTTAAGAATTGCTCTCGGAGAAATTGGTAAGGCTTTTATCAATGTGTTATAAGTTTCATGTTGGGGTAGCACTGGGCTGGTAGTTCTTTAGTCTTTGTAAAGACTGTTAGCTAAAGTGCTGTTAAGTAAAGAGCATTTGGCCGCAATGTTTTCCGCTGTGAGTGATTTGCATGTTTTAAAATGGTGCTACATTAAAGCCCACCAAGAGGGTGATTCAAATAATATAGATGTGAATCTTGTGACTTAGACACACAACTCTGCAATCAAAACACAGATGATGAAAAGAAATGGTACACATGGTACAAAAACATCTGACAGGGTGCATCCAGAGAAATTCAAATTCACAGAAGATGTTGCTTTGGATATACAAGAACATGACTAAAAGTTTTACTGGAAACTGTTTAACTACATAAAATGTCCAATATCCATTACACTCATCCAACTTCACTACAGCTCATAGACAAAGACCACAAAGAGGTAACACTTTAATTTTAACTAGGACAACAGTAAATACCAAGATCCTAGGACTGATGACTCATGATGAAACAGAGAGCACAAAGCATACAGATCCACATTGCTATCTGTAAAATGAACAAATGCTTTAAACAATTGGGGTCACTAAAGAAAAATCAAGAGTCAAGAGTCAAGAGGCTTTTATTGTCATTCCATCTATGTACAAGTACACAGTGGAGCAAAATTACGTTCCTCCAGGAACAACACGGTGCAACAAGGAACAAAAAGTACAAAGTACAAAAATACAAAAGTACAAAGTGTGAACATGCAGACAGTGTGCAAACAAGGATTAAGCTAGAAAACAATACAATAAATACAATAAATTAAACAGACATTAGACACAGTTAACAGACCAGACAGTGTAGCACCGACACAGCACAGATTTCTGGACATGAGGTAGTGGAATAAGGTGCAGACATTTTTAACGTGATGTGATCTGTAAGTTACGTCAGCATAGCAGTCAACATAGCAGTTACAGAGGTAGTAAAACAATTACAAGTACTGAGTAGTAAAACAGTTACTGAGGTAGTAAAACAGTTACTGGGGTAGTAAAAACAGTGTAAACACAGCATTGGCAGCAATGTTCCAGATAGATAGTGCACGTAAAGCATCAAAAGAGGTGTGTATGAGTGTGGGGGGGGTTTAGTTCAGTCCTCGTGAGTTTAAAAACCTGATCGCTTGAGGGACAAAGCTGTTGCTGAGTCTGGCAGTGATGGCACGGATGCTCCGGTACCTTCTGCCAGACGGCAGCAGTGAAAAAAGTCTGTGTGAGGGATGGATGGGGTCGTTCACGATGCTGGTGGCTTTGCGGATGCAGCGTGTGGTGTAGATGTCCATGATGGAGGGGAGAGAGACCCCGATGATCTTCTCCGCTGTCCTCACTATGCGCTGTAGGATCTTGCGGTCGTAGGCGGTGCAATTCCCAAACCAGGCGATGATGCGGCTGCTCAGAATGCTCTCCACAGTCCCCCTGTAGAACATGGTGAGGATGGGAGCAGGGAGATGAAATGATCATTACATAGTCCATAATTACCATCATAACCATCATTACATAAGCCATATCACTTTTTACTATGATTTATGTATATAATATTACTCATCACATGTTTCATACATATTATATGCTCACATAACATTTCTTAAATACAGGAAATGTTTAGGTTTTAGTTTGAAATATGTGCATTTTTCAATATTTCCTGTGCCTGATTCTAATGTCTAGTGACTGGACAGTAAAATCCATTGAAATCACTAAAAAAAAACAATATTTCATTCACTGAAAATCATCTACTGTCATTCCTAAATACACATTAGATTCTAGTTTTAACAAAACAAACAAAAACGTTGAATGATTGTGTTTTGCAATGCATTAATAATAAATGCTTTATTACAATAATCAAAGCGTAAATAACTACACTGATCCAAATGTCCAGATTAATGACGATTAAAATATATCTCAAAATTTGTGTAAAAGGAAAAAAAAAATCTACTGTTTCCTTTTTATCTTTCACAAAAAGGACCTTCTAGAAGGACACACATACAAAACAATAAATACAGGATTATACAGAGATAGTCTTGGAGGTGGTGAGTCTATTTTACCAGCTGCCATGTTTTTGTTTATAACAAGATTTAAAAAGGCAAACATTCTGTTAAATGATTAATAAATACAAAGACTGAGTTCTATCGAAACGCATTAAAGTGAGTGTGGTGACGTATTTGTAGATGCTCTATTCGATAAGGTGCCCTGCGATGGACTGGCAATCTGTCCAGGGTGTATCCTGCCTTCCGCCCAATGACAGCTGGAATAGGCTCCAGCACCCCCCACGACCCAGAGGGGTAAGCAATTTAGATGTGTGTGTGTGTGTGTGTGTGTGTGTGTGTGTGTGTGTGTATTCAATATGGGTGTGTACAAATGTAGATATAGATACAGATAGAAGTATATATTTTATTGTCAGTTATCTTTTTCCGTATTTTATCACCACATGTGAAATTCATCCTGGACATCAGTATTATTATACCTTTCCTCCTGATGCCATACAACTGTACAACTGATGCTATCTCAGTGATTAAGAATAATCAGTACAGCTCTGTTCATCATTTTGGACACATGACAGTAATGTATGTATACATTGGTTGGTACTTCTTTAAAATTCTGAAAATGCGTATGAAAGATGAACAGGTTTTCAGAAGAACAGAACACTGACATGCAGACAGAAGGAGTTTAGAGTGTGTTCTTCTGAGAGTGACACATTTTCAGGAGTCTGTGAATGTGAGGATAAACTAACACAAAGTTATTACATAAATATTTAAATATTTTAAACCTCTGATATTTGTGAATTGTGCATTGTCAAAAAAAAAAAATTGTTTTGTGGTTTGGTGCTTCACAGTGGAGTGTGATGTACTGGCATAAAGAAACAACTAAACATGCTTCGGCTCTTCTGCTGTCTAAACTCTACAAAACCCTAAACAACTTTACAAACTGATTGTGTTTTATTTTGTTATTTTCTCCACATTAATAATTGGATGTTTCATCCATGCTTAAAAACATTTATACTTGTATGCAAGCAGCACAGTGAGTGTCAGTTTAGCAGTGCTAACTGTTCCCAGCTGCAGTGTCCTCCTCAGTCTGAGACACTTTAAAAACAAACACTGTTTGTTATGAAACATGTTCTCTGCTGTGTATTGAATAACATAATGACATAATTCATGAATTATTATTTCTGTTTGCTTGGAATACTCAGTGTCCATAATACTGGACATTTGGAATTAGGTGCATGACGTGTGAGAGATTTTGAAAAATGAACATCTTTTATCATCACCAACATAACAAGTCACAAAGCCAGCACTGAACTTTTCCTGTGTTTACTGTGTGTACAGTGGCATAAAAAAGTTTCTGAACTCTTGGAACCACCTGGACTTGAAACAGCTCCTAAAATATTAAATAATAATAATAATAATAATAATAATAATAATAATAAGCTTTTGAACACAGAGCATTCACTGATTTACATTACTATGTCTAAAATGAACAAATGGTTTAAACAGTCAAGGTCGTTGATTCAAAAATGTCAGAAAACATTAAATAATAGATATTATATAGAGTGTACACATATTACCTTCATTTTACAAGCTCACCTAGTGCAGTAGACAGAAATAACATTTCTGTGTTTCAGAAAAAAAACCATTATTGAAACAGGAAATATTTAGTTCTTTATTTGAGTCTGTTTTTCCAATAATAATAAATATATGCATTTTTCAAAATCTTGCAGATATCGTATGCCAGATTTCTATTTCCAGTAACTGACCAGTGAAATCCACTGAAATCAACCTAAAAACAATGGGCCTCATTCATCAACATCCCCCAAAGTTTTTTCTTTGTGTTTGTGAAAGGTTCTTAGAAAAAGTCTGTGTCAGATTCATGACGTGTTCTTAAACCACAGAACTGTTCACTCCTTTGCGCTCTTGAGTGTGTGTCGATTCTGTTCTTACCAAGAACAAATCCCAAATAAAACACTGGTGAATGTCAGAATCTTTGTGAAAACTGGGTGGGTTTTAAGAAGAATTTTTTCTTAAGAACACTTGGTGAATGAGGCCCAATATTATCCCCAAATTCAATGAACATCATCTACTATCACTCTCAAATAAACATTAGATTCTACTTTTAACAATATAAACAACAATCTTGAATAACTGTGTTTTGTAATACATTAGTCTATTATACAATAAATGATCTATTACACTTATCAAAGCATAAATTACTACAAATATCCAGATTATTGGACAATAAAATTGATCTCAAAATGTGAAATGTAGAAATAAACATCTACTATTTCCTTTTCTTATCTTTCACAATTGGGGCTCTTTAGAAGGACACTCATACAAATCATTTCTGAAATAAATACAAGATTTTTCAGAAACAGTGTTTCATTTGGTCTTGGAGGCAGTGAGCGTCTGTCTCACCAGCTGCCATATTTGTTTTTGTTTATGACAAGAAAAAAAAGTAAACATTCTAATAAATGACGAACCAACAGAAAGACTGAGCTCATAGAAACACATAAAAGTGAGTGTGGTGATTTACCTACTTCTAGAGCTAGAATACCTGGAAAAAATGTCCAGTATACTGGACAGCTGTGTGCAAACGTTTGGGCACACCTGGTAAAATGAAGTTTATTGACTTCCTAAGTGAACTTGAATTAACACATCATCTACAGAGAACACATTTCTACACATATTGATACACTATTATGGCTTACTTACTAAATTGATCATATTTGGGAAAAAATGTAAATAAAATATGTTCTGTGCAAAAATGATGGCACATTTTAATTTAATTTAAGGTTTTTGCCAATATGTTAAACTCAAATGAATAGAAATTGTGCAGAACACAGCATGTAAACTGACTGGGGCTGTTTGGCTTTTGCTTATGACTGTGTCTGTATCTCCCTATAACCAGAGTTTACATTTTCAGTTGGTGCATTTTCTGTGAGAAAGTCTTGGCTTGGTCACTGCTGGTATGAACTATAAGATAGCCCATTTATCAGTATATCTGGAGGAAGAGGAAGAGGAGGGGCGACAGAATGTCATTAGCTTTGGGAATTGAAAAGCTTTGATGCTGTGGTGTCTTTTTCTGCCATTCTTTCTTACTTTCTAACTGGTGTAGGAGAAAGATAATGATCCTCTGTTGAAGAAAATGAACAGTTTGTCTCTTGTGGTGGCAATAGGTGAGCTTTTTTCTGGCTTATTAATCTATCTAAACTTTTTTCATAACTGATTTATCCTACAGGCGTACTTTCATGTCTAGGTTTACATATAAAGGTTTGCTTTGTATTCAGAGATAAATATGCTTAGTTCATGAACTGCAATATATTTATGAGTTGTTTTTTTCAGTTATTCAATTACTTCTGTTAATAAATATAAAAGTTTTAAAGCTATAAACATACTGGTACTACTTACTAACACTTCTTTATTGCTGCTATTCAGGATACATGCTTCATTCAGTTTGTTAAAAGCGGACAATATGAGAGATTAGAAATGAGTGAGTTAACAAGCTGTTGTTTTTTGTTTTTAGTGCTGTCCTCATTACTGGTCAAACATGGAGCATCTGATGGTAAAACACACACAATTACCTCCACTTGTTCCTGTGCTTATTTTATGTCTTTCTCTAATATGAATAAAGTCACTGACACCATCAACATCACAAAGAGCAGCACGAGTAACATCAACAGGAGAGCACATCCTCAGTGTTGATGTATATTGGTGTTTGTTTATGTTCAGTGCTGATTTTTGTGATGTTTGTCAGTGTTTGTTGATGTTTACTTCTGTTTGCTGATGTTTGTGGTGTTTGTCAGTGTTGATATTTATTGGTGTTTCTTGATGTTTGTCGCCGATTGTCCAGTGATTGTTGGTGTTTGTCGTTGTGTGCTGGTGTTTGTTGATGTTTATTGGTGTTTCCTGATGCTTGTTGGTGCTTGTCAGTGTTGATATTTATTAGTGCCTGCTGGTGTTTGGTGGTGTTTATTGATGTTTGTTTGTGTTTGCTGCTGTTTGTCAGGCTTTACAGATGTTCCTTGGTGTTTGCTGGTGTTTGTCAGTGTTGATGTTTATTGGTGCTTATTCGTGTTTTGCAGTGTTTCTTGATATTTATTGGTTTTTGTTGATATTTATTTGTGTTTGTTGCTGTTTGTCAGGTTTTATTGATGTTCATTGATGTTTGCTGGTATTTGTCTGCCAAGCACAGCCTGACATGTTTATTATGAGTGTATATTTACCATAAATGTATGACTGTGAAACATGAAAATGCATTAATGAGACAGACCCGGGCGTTCCAAGACTTGGGGGTAGACACTTTGGTACTGTTGGTCCACAGATGGCCCTCTGATACAACAGACCTCTGACACAAGCCAGCCCACACTGAAGAAGCACTACACTTTAAACGAGACTTCCCATGAAGATACTATGAATGCTACTGTAGCGCCAATCCAAAATGCCACCAAAGCTCCTGAGGGTCTCTACAACTCTACAAATGCTGTGGAGAGTTCAGAAAGTGGGATATCAGGCAGCGGTAGGAACATGATTTCTGTACTACTTTTAAACACAATTCAAATAATTTCATTCATTTTTTACGAGTGAGTCCTGTTTACATTTAGGTAACTCTACAAGCCTACAGGAGGAAGACAATGTCTCTACAGGTATGGAAGCCTGGTTCAACTATTTTTGTTTTTAATTTAGTAAACTCTTCCTATATCCTCCTGTCTGTGTTCTCTAGGGTCCTGGGTTTGGGTGGTCTGTGTCATTGTGGTCATTCTACTTCTCATTCCTGTAATCTTGCTACTTGTGCCAAGCTTCAGGTAAGGCAAATGTTGCTGATAATCTTGCTGTCATTTTTATTACTTAGATTTGGCAAAAATTTGCTGAATAATTTTTCCAAGTATCCAAGCAAGATTACTGATTTTTGCACACAAATAACCTGCAGATCTCTGATGTTTGAACCAGACAAGCTTCCCAAACCTAAGCTTAAAAAAATACATGTGTCAAAATAGATATGATAATTAAAAAGAGAGTGTCAATCACTGACAAATTTACCATTGACCGCAAAGTGGGACAGCAAATATCTGTGAATCTGTACATAAAAACTTAAAATTACTATTTTAAAAGAGCTGTTGTGACTTTATACAAGGCAGATGTGGACTTCTATCATTTTTTCTCTTGAGTTGTAACTTGTGTTAACCCTTTAATGTCCTCACCAAGAAAAAAGCAATGGAATTTTATTTTTTGTATTTTTTATTTGTTTGGGCAATAATAAAAAACAATTTTTAAAATATTCACATCTACCAAACGGTCGAGATGGCACGTATAGTGACTCAAAATGTGCTCTGTCAAATGGTTGAGCAGAACATTAAAGGGGTAAAACTGATCCTGCTGTGTGGTGACTGTACTTTAGCTTGACTAGCTCTTGCTGTGAGTTATTTACATTCTTCAAAACAGTGCTATATTACAGCAGTGAAGAGTGCAAGTGAGTAGTAAAGTGTGAATTCTGTGTCTTGTACACACAACTCAGTAATCGATTCAAACTGAAAAAGTTATTTATATGGTGCAAAAACAGCCTTCAGGGTGAATCTTGAAAACCATCTGACCAATTGCTGTCAAAATTCATTAATGCTGCTATACAAGAGGTTATCAAAAGCATCTACCTAGACCTATTTAACATAAACAATAAAAACCTGTGTTACATTTCATCCCACATTAAGTCATTCTGCACTCTCCTGTAGTCTGTATGTCCAAAGTAGTGAGGTTGTCTACTTTAAGGTGCACCCACTGCTGACACAGTTGTTCACTCGAATGGGACGCTCTGAGCCTAAGGCCACCATGCCCAGTGCCAAGCATCGGCTACAGGGGTATAAGGCCCTCCAGCATTTTGCTGTCGAGCAGTGGAAGTGCACGCTCTGGAGTGATGGAGCTCCATCCAGTACCTTTGGGATGAGTTGGAATGATCTAGAATTCATCATTCAACATCAGTACCTGACCTCACTAATGATCTTGTGGGTGAATGCAATTAAATCCTCACAGCAATTTTCCAACTAGAGTAGAGGCTGTTACTGCAGCAAAGGGGGACAAACTCCCTATTAATACCTTTGATTTCAGAAGAAACAGTGGATAAACAGGTGTCTGCAAACATTTGGACAAATCAACTAATTTGCTGTAAATATATATATATATATATATATGTATATATATATATATATATATATATATATATATATATATATATATATATGTATGTATAGGAATTTAAAATTTTGCTGACCTTAATGTTAAAACATGTAACCAAAGAAATACATCAACAAGGTAAAATAAAAATAAAATGAACAGTTACATAGCATATTGCACAATGGAGTGACATCAAATAGAAACAGCAATCTAATGTTATTCTGCATATTGCCCAACATGTTCCCACCAGTCCCACCAGTTAATAAAGGTGCAAGTACTTAAACTTCTCATTCACTTGCAGCTGCATTGTTAAGAATGTGGACTGAGCCTTTGCAGACTGAATCAAACAGTGTATTTGTGGACATTAAATCAGCAGCTCTTGTGTCCTTTCAGTCTGTTATCAGAATAATTTAAATCAGCTGAGGAAAATCATTTCATTACTGGTGTTACGTCTGACTAAACAACTGAACAGCGGATAAATGCACTCATGATTCACTCTTGGTTTTCAGGCAGAGAATGAAGTTTTTCCCAGCCAGTGCCTCCACAGGGATGAGTGCCCTTCAGGAAATGCCTCAAACAAAACAGGATGCGACAGAGATCCAATGGGACCTTGCCTGGATGGAGATGGCCAATTTGCTGGACAAACAGCATTATCCTGGCAGCTGACCAGGGTCTTACTAAAGAAATCCCAATACAACACTGCAGAACCTCAATATGTACATCGACTGGCCACTTCATTAAAACTACCTCTTTGTTTTTACTCTCACTGTCTGTTTTATCAGCTCAACATACCTGATAGATGCACTTTGTATTTCTGCAATTACAGACTGTAGTTCATCTACAAACTCCAGCAGTGCTGCTGCGTCTGATCCATTCATACCAGCGCAACACAGACTCACGTCACTGTCACTACAGTGCCGAAAATGATCCACCACCCAAATGAAACCTGCTCTTTGCTGGTCCTGTGGGGGCTCTGACCATTGAAGAAGCTGATAAAATGGACAATGAGTGTAGAAACAAGGAGGTGGTTTTAATGAAGTGGCTGGTCAATGTATGGTACATAGGATACTGAGATCCACATGTCGTTGCTAATGTGTGAATTTCTTCAAACTGCATGTGGATGTTCAGAGATTTTAGAAAGTGAATGAGAATCCAAAGCTATTCATTTCAATCATGGCGTGGAGCAGTGGTTCTTAGACTGGTCCTCAGGACCCCCTTGGACAGTCCACATTTCAGTCAGTCAGGTTCTCTCGGCCTGTTTTTGTGATTGTTGTGGGCTGAAACGCTTTAATTAAGGCTTTTGTTTTTGATACATTTTGATAAATATTTTATCTGTAATATTCCTTGGCAAATGTCATCATCCCTGCATTATCAATGGCTTCTCAGCATGTAGCACCAAAGATTACAATAAATGCGAAAGAATTTATACAATTTATGTGTTTAATGCAGAAATAATGCCGTGATTAGAAACATTTATGAGCCCTTGCAACCTTTGCTAACGTTTATTCGTGATCAGAATTCCCGGAGGGAATTTTCAAAATCCCTGTGAACTGGGATCCAGGTCAGAGCAAAAATATAACCCATCTGTGGACCGGTTTGAGAACCACTGAATCAGAGGACTTTTGGTTGTTAAACTGTTGACATCTATCAGTTGGCAAATGTGTTGATCCTCTAAAATAAAAGGCATATGAGCTGTTACATTAACTTTCATTAAAAGAAAGTCTTTCCTTTTCCACAATATTTTGTTTATTTAAAGTTTACAAACAAGTTGTACAAAATATAAATACAATGAACAATCAGTATTGTCACATTGGAGGACAAAAAAAGCAACTATATCAGAAACCAGAAAAAGATCAAACGGTAAATCCACTTGGCTACTTGTTACAATGCAGTTTATTCATTTCCAATTACACAGGATGTTGTTAATAGACTCTCTATAATTAATATAAACTTGTCATTTTTAATAACATATTAATACATAAGCAGTTGTTCAGTCAGAAAACACATATTGTGCCAAAACTGATCGTATCATACCATCATAATGCCGAACACTATGCTCTTAAAGATGATCCTTTAACGGTTCTTTAGTAAAGACAGTGGTTCTATATAGAACCATAAATGATCAAAGAGCCGTTGCATGATCAAAGGGTTCTTTGCATGGTGAAATGGTTTTTCAGATAGATGGAGCAAGTGTTTGTTCTATATAGAACTTTTTTGAAAAGGGTTCTACACATCACCAAAAAGGTTCTTCTATTGTTACAAGCTTGACATCATAACAATAGCAGAACCTTTTTTGGTGCTTTATATTAACACTTTAAGCATGCAAATGGTTCTCTGTGTGTTCATTGTTCTAATAACCATTATCTTCATATATATATATATATATATATATATATATATATATGCTCATGCAGTGTGTTACACTAAGAAACTCTGCACACAGAAACACTAGGGGGCAGACATGACTTGTTAAGCTCACCCATCACTGTTTATGGGCTGCCTACATGTGACAGTCAGAATTGTCAATGAAAAACACACAGCAACGAAATGTATTGAATAGATAACAGAGGCTGACATTAAAGTGATGCTGCTTGCTTATAGACCGTAATTCTGATAAAGATTCTTACAGTCAGGTTCATTTTTCGGGAGCACAAAAGAGAGACTATGTGGACTTAAAGCATTATAATCTCATATGAATGAAAGTGAAATCCTATTTGTGAGAAATTATTAAGCTCTGTCGCCTTTTCCTTTTACGTCTAGAAGCTGTATCTCATTGATTAGTGGATGAGCGAGCTTCATATCACAGATGCTGGTTAGTAACTAATGTAAAGAGGAACACACAAAAGCCTTAGATGGGGAATGCACACCTCTTTTGCTCTTTTCTTTGTCCTTTTCTAGCTGTTTCTGCTACCACACTCCTCCTCCACCGAACTGTAATTACAGCAATGGGCAGCCATATTTCATTTTCCCATTCCTCCCTTATTCCCCCTCTCCTCTGCTGGAAGGCAATTTGCGATTGCGCGTGTGCATTTTTTGGACCACAGTTCACTGCCGGGGGGCACACTGCCCTCATGAACAAATCTCATTTACATACACACACACACACACACATAGCCTTTGATTGTGCCTTGGTCTGAGAAAGCATAAAACAGTATGTTAAAGATCTGAAACAGCTGATTAGTACAACATCCAATATTCTACAATATATGTAGTCAAATACACAGCGCTGTGTGCAAAAGTCAGAGAGTCCTTGTTTATTTAATCTCCAGCCAACAGAGGCATCAAGTGCATGTTATTCACTGTTCAGGAGATATTTTTAAGGTAATTCAATACAAAGTAATCCATCTGCATAAGGAAGGAGAAAGTGAAAAAAACAGTGAAAAAACAGGAGTCTCCAAAACTGTTCCAAAAATGATTAACAACTGTGCGGTGGACCTGGTAGACCACCAAAACTCTCAACATCTGATACACGGTACTTAAAGCTTTCATCTTTGAGAGAGAGGAGAAAATTAAGCTCCACTTTTGCTTCAGATCTGAAAAAATCTACACGTGTTTCTGTCCATCCTTCAACTGTGAAAGTCTGAAAAAATGTGTAGCTGTCAAGAAGCCAGACAATTTGCAATAGCAGCAAGAACATTTGCCCTATAACACTAAAACTGGACATCTAAGATGTGGAGTAAGGCTTTGCGATTGATCTGAGTCAAAAATTGTATTTGGATTGTGAATAGAAGCAGAAAATCCAACAATAAAACAACTTCTAAGACTGAGTGTGTAAAGGTCCTGCAGATTTCTTTGTAAAACTGAAAGTCTCATCAAAAAGTGGACACGAAATATTGGAAAAAGGATATTATATTAAGTTGTTGATGGTCTGTGTAATATTCTGTTAAATGTATGTTTTCAGTTTTTTCTGACACTGAAAAATGAATAACTTGTACTGTAGCCTTTTTGACTGGAAATGAAATAAATGCCTTTTACACAGTACTGTAAGTTTGGACACACCCATTCATTAAACAGTACATCACAAAAATTAAATAGTTTATATAGCATTTCTCCACTCAGAAACATTGGCCTTCTACCAAAGACTGCTGTTTAGACCCCGCCCTCCCTCTGAAATGCATTAAAGAGGACAGATGCTCCACTAATAAGCCAGGCAAATTCATACTTAGGCATCAATTTGAAGATTTTAATATATATTTATGTTGTGAACAACTTTGACATTTTGAATCATTAGACTTTAGATCAAAATGCCTTTAAGATTATGAAAAACATGCAATCTGGTATGTCCAAACTTCTGACTGATACTGTCTATTCATTGTCTACTGACCCATTCACCAGTTTCTGTATGTCCAGTCTGAGTGCAGAAAAATGCACAGATGTATTTATGACCCTGTACTGAGCAACATTACTGATGTGTGTTGTCAGTTCATTTGTTGACTGTTTATGTGTACATTATGTAATAAACGCTTTGAGACCATCACTAAAGCCATGCAGCCTTTTCCATCATTTACCAATGCAAAGTTTATATACAAATCATGACAAATAAATTAAAAGCCATATATTGAACTTACTTTATTCTAATGATACGTACATGTCAGTCACATACACTCAATGCATTACCTTTTCAGTGCACAGGTGAAACTATAGGCTAAATAAAGTACACTGTTCAGACAGTGTCTCTCTGAACTGAGATGTTCTATCAGTATCACACTGGCTGCTTCAGTGAGGAGCAGATTCAGCCTAATGACCAGCGCTGTAAGTCTTAAGCTTCTGCTTTATTTCCCTCATTTCCACACCCACTCAAAGCCACTTTTAATATGTATTGTATCCATGGTAACTTCTGGGCACCACGCTCGCATAAACCCTTTGGGTTGAGAAAAAAGTGTCTTCAGCGTGCTGGAAGCAGACTGCTATGACGTTCATTCTTGACCTCAGTCTGTGTCATGAAGCACCTTCAGAGCTTAAAATAAAATTGAAGAGTTACGCTGAGAAACAGGTGCCAAGAGTCTGTTCAGTCTGCGTTATTTCTCAAGGAGACTTTCCAGGGAATCATGGGTAATAACTCTACAGGGTCAGAAACAGGCTGACAGCGAGGAAGTCCACTCAGCTGATGAATTAAACCTTTTTTTCCCTCAAGCTGAACTCAGCATATGAGTATAGATGTTCCTGCTGTCATATCAAAGCCTTGTACAGAAGTCTATAAACACTGTGATCACATGGACCAACAGCAAAATGTCATCACATTAAAGTTCATTCAGGTTATAAAGATTGTTCTTCTTTCCTGTCTGTTTGGAGATCAGGTTTCTATATTCTCTATATTTGTTTGAGTTGAGGCTGTTATCATTAAATAACAGCATAATCATTCAGAAACAATGGGTAAAGATTTCAAATGGAATATGTATGTTTGTTGCAGTGTAAATGAAATGGCTTGACACTTCAGGACTGCATTTGTTCCTCAGACATAAAGCTGGCCAGTTTACAGTCCTGATCCTATGGCTGCATGCTGCTCTTGAAGAGTTGAAATCCATTGCAGATTTCCATAGTTACCTGGTAGTTTGAGAGATTCTTCTTTCTATAAGCAGCCATACATCATTCACCTCCATTAGAGACGGGTTCTCTATACAGCTCCACTGACTGACATCCACTGAAATGTAGGAGAGAGAGGGAGAGAGAGAGAGAGAGAGAGAGCGAGAGAGAGAGAGAGAGAGAGAGAGAGAGAGAGAGAGAGAGAGAAGAAGAAGGAGAGAAATGAAGACAGGTCAAGATAGAGAGAGATATGAACAAAAAGAGAGGGATCACAAGAGAGAGAGATGAAGAGAAAGACATATGAGGAGAGAGAGAAAGGAACAGAGAGAAAGTTGAAAACAAAGAGAGGGATGAGGAGAGAGCAGGAAGAAGCAGAAAGATGGAGAGAGAGAAACGAAGGGATGGAGAGAGATAAAAAAGGATGGGGAGAGAAAGGAAGAGAGAAACAGAATCTTGAAGAGAAATAGAAATGAAGAGAAACAAAAGGATGATAGAGAGAGAGAAAAAGAGAGAGAAAGAGAGGGACGAGGAGGGACAGAGAAAGTTGAGGAAAGGGAGAGAAAGACAGAGAGAGACATGATGGGATGAAGAGAGAGGGAGATGAAGAGAAACAGAAGGATGAGGAGAGGAAGAGAGAGAGAAACAGAGAATGTTGGAGAGAAAGAGAAATGAAGAGAAACAAAAGGATGAGAGAGAAAGAGAAAGCTGAAAAAAGAAAGAGAGGGATGAGCAAAGGTAGAGAAAGATGAAGACAGAGAGATAAATAAATAGAAAGAGAGACATTGATGAGGACAGAAAGTGAAAGATAAAGAATGAGATGGAGAGAAAGAGAGAGAGAAAGAAAGAGTGAGACATATGAAGAGAGAGAGAGTGAAAGAGGAATATAAATGGGATAGAAAGATATTGACATTCCTATCTGAAACCTTCACAAGTCATCCATTCATTATAGTAAAGAATGGTATAAATTCTCTCTCTTTCTCTCTCTCTCTCTCTCTCTCTCTCTCTCTCTTTTGCATATAAATAAATTGGAGGCAGCTGGTGGGTGACAGTGGACCAGCTGTGTGTGAGTGAGGGGGTCTCTCCGTTTCTGCCTCCCTGCCTGCCTCTCTCTCTGATAATTGGCACTTTCAGCAGGGCACCTTGGAGAGCGAGGTCAAAGTTCGAGTTGTTGTCAGGCTGTA